TTTGAGGTTACGATGCCATAACACACCTTTTGACGTTCAGATTCGCTGTTTTTCCAGTCCGTAATCCACCTCTAAACGCAAAAATCCGCGGTTTCTTGGGTTACGGTATCACTTTCCGGAGTCAGGATTCCACAATACACCTGTGTACATATGTCCTCAGGGGGAAAACGGCCTCCGGGACAGGGGGTCTAAATAGTGTTTGCGCTGTTCCGGGAGCGGACATTAGTGTCTGATCCTGGGGGAAATCGGCGGGTGTCCAGAGGAGTGTTCTGTTGTGTCTCCAGAATGGAGACCCCCGGGGGCCCTGAGGGGATTTTTCTCTCTTTCTCTGCTGTATCTCTCTCGCTCTCTCTCGCTCTCTCACCTTCGAATTCTTGAGGATTCCTCAGAGACCCGCGCGCGAGTCACGAAAGACAAATAATGCGCGGCGTCTAATGGGTGGACAGGGGGGGATGGAGGGCCCTTACCGGGATTCTGATACTAAATTGGGGGCAAACTAGCAGGGATTCTTTGAGGAAAATCGGAATCTATAGATATTTGTCTTCTGTGGCCCTTTAGAAGTAAGGGGCAAGCTAGCAGAGAGCCTTGGAGAGCAAAGGAACTAGGGCAATCTTGCGGGGGTTCTTTGAGAAATTTCTGACTTTTCTGACTCTTTAGGAGGTCACTGGCAAGCTAGCAGAGATCATTGAGGATTTGAATCGATAATTTGACCTCAACCGGTCTTTAAAAGCCTAGGGCAAGCTAGCAGAGATCGCTTGCGGAATTCGCGAACCAGCAGTGATTACTTAGGATTTTTGGTCTCACAATGCCTTTAATGGCCCTTTAGAAGAATTCGAGCAAGCTAGCAGAGACCATTTACCTTCACTAACCCTTTAACGCCAAAAATTTGCATGTTCCAGTCGATTTAGGCGCCTTGTATTTAGCAAAAGCCACCTTTCTAGTCCACCATGCTCCTTAGTACGCTTCTCCGCACTCGGGCCAGTCCCATCTGTAGGTTTTGCCTCGGTCTCCCGTCTGTCTCAACGCCTTTAAAGCCCTGTTTTTACAGTACGTATGCCGGTGCTTCGCGTAGTCACGAATCTGGGCGACGTGCCCGAGACGCTCGAGGCTCAGCTGACCAAGGTGGTCGCCGACATCATGAAGAAGCCGGAGGAAAGGTTCTGGTGTGAGGTAAGCTCAAAACTAAGCCTAAGCCTAAGTCTAAGTCTAAGCCTAAGCCAAGCTTAAGCCAAGCCCAAGCCCAAGCTAAGCCAAACGTAAGCCTAGTTCCATGTTTCCAGGTGCAAACCGGAGCCCGGATCTCGCAGGGCGGCACCAAGGATCCGTGCGTCTTCGTCTCGGTAAGGGCAGCCTAGCAGAGATTCTTTGAGGAATTGGAGGGCAAGCTAGCAGCGATTTTTTAGGTGAAATCGATCGGAGCCGTCGGAAAGGACGAGACTCCCAGACTCTCCCAGCAAATCACCGACTACTGCCACAACGCCCTGTCGGTGGCCAAGGACAAGGTGTTTCTTTCTTCGCTCTCTCTCTCTCTCTCTCTCGCCTTTCACGCTTTTTTCCAGATTTCCGTGCAATACATCGACATGGACCCGAATACGTTTGCTCGTGGCGGGACCACCATCGCCGAGCAGCTCGCCCAACAATCCAAACAATAGAAATGTTCCTTTTTACGCGGTACCGCTACGCTACATTCCAGAGTACATACGGTAGAACGAGTAATAAACTGCTTTTTAGTCACTTTATCGATTGAATTACATCGACTTACATGGCGTAATCGATTACGACACTTTAACGACGTATAAAGCTTGATCCAGACTTTTTAAAGGGGAAATACCTGGCGTAATCGATTACGCCACATTATTTCGCAAAGAAACACTGCTCGTCGTCGCTGATGAAGTCGCCGCTGTGGAAGGCGTACGCGTCGTGGAGTGCTCCAGCCCAACGATGAGCAGAACGCTGAAAAATTGGCTTAGACTTGGCTTAGGCTTAGCCTTTGGCTTACCTGCTTATCGGCTTCCAATATGGTAGATGAACAAATTTGCTCGATCAAAATCGGCAACCCCTGGAGTACAGCGTCAAGATGATGACGTCGGAAGGCTCTAAAAACGTATATAAGTAAGATACGCAACACGTACTGCTTCAAGTCGCTGAGCTTGAACTTTTGGGCGCGGATGTCGATGAGGGTGTAGAAATAGGTGCGGAACACCTGGAAAAAACGAATTTTCGGCCCTCAGAAAATTTCTAGGCCCTTTAAAGGCCAACTGAAGACAGAAAACTATGGATTTTGCCTTCTATGGTCCTTTAAAGTCCATTTAAAACCTTTTACCTTCATGAAATGGTCCCTTCTCACGGAAGCCGATGCCGAGGAGATGATCAGCGTCGTCAGGTCGTAGGCCGGGTGGCCGAAATGGACATTCTGGAATGAAAAATGTTCCTCAAGAATCTCTGCTAGTCTGCCCTCACCTCCCAGTCGACAATCGACAGCAATCGGCCATTCGCATCAAACCGCAAATTGTCTGCCGTCAGCTGGCCATGGCAGAGGACTTGAGGCGCTTCTTCTGGGGGAGAATCACGGAAGGAGATGTACAGTTCGTTTAGCTGGAAATGTAGGGTAAAACTACAGACTACAAATTGTCGAGACTCCAAGCTACAAACTACAAAAAGGAAAAATGGCGCTGACTTTCGCTATTTGGTAGTTTCCAGCTTGCCTAGCCTTGTTTTTCTACTTTTTTTTTGATGTTATATGGTAAACTAGAAACTACAGACCCCAAACTAGCGTATACTACAAAGTACAAACCTCTTTTAACACTTTTTCAGGCTCTGGGAAAAGTGGGGAAGCACAGATCTGTGAGAATTGTTGAACGGCCTCTTGGATGGATTCTCGACGGTATTCTGAGACGACCTAAAAACTGGCTTTTCCGCAAAGAATCCCTGCTAGCTACCTGGTAATTTTCCATTACTGTACGGCAAAACTCGCGGTGTTCGTCGTAGGTGCTAAAAAGTGGGTTAGAGAGAGAGAGTGAGAGTGAGAGAGAGAGAGAGAGAGAGGAGAAGAGAGGGAGGGAGAGAGATAGATCGAGAAAGAGAAAGAGAGAGAGAGGGAGAGAGAGCGAGTGGCAGATCCTACCCGATGGCGTGCAGCCGTGCCAACTGCTCGGCAACTTGTTGAAGATGTGCGAGCGAGAGTTCAGCAGCTGCCAGGCCGTCATGCCGGGTAAGGGCGAGGAGCTGAAATTTACTCGCAAATTATCTATGCTAGCTTGCGCAGTTTCCCCAAGAATCTCTGCTAGCCGGCCCCTCTCTTCCTCAAAGAATCTCTGCTATCCTCCTCACCGAAAAATGAGCATGACTGTCCTCGATCCGGAAAACTCCGCGTGGATGCCCCACAGGTACTGTAGATTTGTTCAGTGCTGCGAATTCGTGGAAAAATCGGGAATTGTAGAAGCCAGCCTGTAATGAATTAAATAGCATAATCGATTACGCCATGAAAATCGAAATGTTATTGCATAATCGATCAAATACCCACCAAAACTGCAGCTTTATGCAGCGATTCCGGCTCCTCGACCTCTTCCGCAAGTAAAACTTCAAAGGCCTCGTCTCTAGACTGAAAATACCGATTTTCACAAAGAATCTCTGCTAGCTTGCCTTGAGGTTAATGACGGGGATTCCGAGCTGGGTGGATCTGGGCTCTTCCTCCTCATAGGGATCGAGCCCGAGCTGTCTGGCTGCTACAGAAGCTATTGTTTGAGACATATCTGGAATGCGGCAGGCTAGCAGAAGTTGTTAGGGAAATTTTGCTGATTTCACTGGTCCTTTAAAACACGAAAAATGGCAAGCTAGCAGAGATTCTTTGAGGAATTTCAGAGGCTTTACTGGGTCTTTAAAATGTTTGTAAGGCAGGCTAGCAGAGTTTCTTTGAGGAACTGGGCCTTTAAAATTCGGAAAAGGTAAACAAGCAGAGATTCCTTGAGAAATTCATCCCCAATAGTCTCTGCTAGCTTCCTAGCCTCCCTAAGGATTTCTGCCAGCCTGCCTAGCCATTTTATCGTCGAAAACGCTTGATAAAACCCAAAAAACTATAAAAACCGAATAAAACGCGTCTGGTCGTGAATTCCGGGCCGGAAACCTTGTGCGGGAAGTGAGGCTATCTTGCCGTTTGCTGCTTCGTCGGCTTATCTATCTTTTAGAAGAGGAGGGGAGGGGAGGGGGACACTAAAACAGCCGATGACGAGTCGGGGAGCTGCAGAATTCCAGCAAAAAGAGGCCCAAAAAGGGCGTAGACCAGCTGAAATATGTGTGGAATGTTGCAAGTTGGGCTTAGGCTTAGGCTTAGGCTTCGGCTTAGACTTGGCTTAGGCTTGGCTGCGGCCTGGCTTTGGCTTGGCTTAGGCTTCGGCTTGGACTTAGGCTCAGGTTAGGCTGAGGCTTAGGCTCAGGCTTAGGCTTCGCCTTGGGCTTGGGCTTGACTTTCCCAAGCAATTTTCATAGGATTTTGAACCTTTGCTCTCAGGGCAAGCTAGCAGAGACCATTTTCCCCCTCCCTCACCATATATCCGGCAATTCTGTTTGCCATTCGCCCATTCGGGGATGGGTGTGGATCGGAATTGGTCGACTCTGGATCGGTTTGCGCCCCCGGGGCACGTAATCCGTGGTTTTCTGGTGCCCTCTCTCTCAATCCCTCTCTCTCTCTCTATCTATCTCTCTCTCGCTCTCTCTCTCTCTCTCTCTCGCTCTCTCCTCCCGGAAAACCCGCCATCATTGGGCTGGGCAGCAGCAGCTTTTCCCCAGTCCCCCAAAAAACAGCAGGTTCTGCCCTCCAGATCCAATCCGATCGGCTAGCCCCGGGTAATCCTTGCGAATGGCTAACGGCACAACATTCTTGCGTTCCGCTAGGCACCACGCAACGTTTCCGCAAAGAAACTTTGCTAGCCTGCCTCCCTCGTTTTTCCTCTCATGTTTCCTAGCGTAATCGTATCAAAAAAAAAAGAATTTTTCGTTCAGAAATGGTACTCCGGCTCGTCTGCTTCGTCTTATTTTTTGCTGGTAAGCGCTTAGCATGGCATAGGCTTAGGCTTGGGCTTAGGCTTAGGCTTAAGCGTAGGCTTGGGCGTGAGGTTAGGCTAAGACTTAGGCTAGTATTTCAGGAATCCTGGCCGACAGCATCGAGATGGCGGAGGGTTCCGGACTTTGGGAGGGATCAGGAGCTACAGTCGAGGGCAGTGGAGGTTAGTCGATTACGCCATGAAATTCAGTCTCTGTTGGCCACTAACCTACTGTATTTTCTTTTAGCTCAGGCGGTAGAAGGCTCAGCCGAGAAACCTGAAGTTGTTGAACAACCCGTCACGACCACCCAGGAGACGCTGGACAGTCAGGAGATTGTGAGTGCCACCATCCCTTTAAACCCGATTTTTTTTATGTTCCAGTCCCTTTAACTTACAATCTAACTTCAGGAAATCCTGCGCTCGATAAGCTTGACCGACTTGGCCACCCAGGCACCACTCGGGAACCAAGTCGAAGCATCGATCGATGAGGAGCCACTTTCTGGGACTGTTCTCAAGGGAATGGAGCAGCGGATAGAGAGGTGAAGCCTAGCCTAAGCCTAGCCTAAGCCTAAGCCTAAGCCCAAGCCTAAGCCTAAGCCTAAGCCAAGTTATCGCTCTATTTCCAGAGACGTCCACCCCGGCTACAGCTGGCAACGCCTTGAGCAGCTCCTGGGGCAGATTGTTGATGAGCAGGTATGCTAAATCCACCTGTTACTGTGTCTTTAAAACTTAAAACAACAATTTTTAGCTCCAGAACGTGAGCAGCACCGCCAAGCCGAGCGTAAGGAAGGAGGAGAAATGCCAGAAATTCCGGGAATGCCATCAGGATGGGGATTGCGGAAAGGTGGGCACGCTAGCAGAGATTTTTTGAGGAAATGGGGGGCAGGCTAGCAGGCATCTTTTAGGAATTGGAGGAGAGACTAGCAGGGATTTTTGCGGAATTCAGGGCCAGTTAATTTATTGTTTTAGAAAGGCCGTTGTATGGGTTCTCTGGTCGGAAAGTGCAACTGCAACGCTTGTCTTCAGGGGGCAGCTTGCACAGGTAATTGCGGAATTCTTGACCTGCTGTCACCATCCCTTTCAAAAAAAAATCGTATTTTTAGATGATCAGCAATGCGGAGGGTTGCGAGGGGCTTGCAGGGAGGGAAGCTGCGGATGTGCTCAGGTAAGGAATTACTTCTCGTAATCGATTTTTGAGGGTCGTTGGTTTGAATTTTAGGCCTTAAAACATCGAATTTAGCCAAATTTACGTCGATAAACCGAATCAGCAGCCTTAAAAACACCTAATTTCATGGCGTAATCGATTTCAAGGGCCGAGGGTTCGATCCCCGCCGAGGTCAACCTTTTGCTTTTTGAATTTTGGGCTAGAACTTCCAAAAATTTGCTGATTTTAGGTGTTCGCCTCTCGCGGCCTGTCCCTCTACATCGAGGTGTTGACGCAATTCTGCGCCCGTCCGGGTTGCAGCTCGGAAAATGACTGTCTTGGACTGCCGTGCAACTCTGGCCACTGTGACTGTAATTAAATCGATATTTATGTGTTTTTCCTAAGCCTAAGCTAAGCGTATGCCTAAGTTTTTTCTATGCTATTTCCGCTTTTTATGTCTTTCCTCCAAACTACGGGACATTCCGATATATGCAATAATACTGCCAATATTTTCGTTGCGTAATGCGATAAAAATTCTATTTTTGACTATTTCAGATCTGGCAAGCTAGCAGAGATCATTTGGTAAACAGAAAATGAAGACCTGGAAAGCGGGGAAGCAAATTACAAGCAAAAAAGTCCATTTGCATACCGTAATCATGCGGAAAGTAACGGAATTCTAGCAAAAATGCGGTTCTCTATCTGTTTTTTCAAGGGCAGAGAACCTTTAGAGGATGTTAACCGATGTCTGGAGAAGCCAGGAGGAAAATACACCAAAATACTGATGTACGTCTGCAGTAATCAGCGTATCGTAGCGGAATTTTGTGAAAATAGCTGTTTTCAGATTTTTTTTGCAGGGGCAAGCTAGCAGATACAATTTGGGGAATTCCCAGCGACTTTCTAGCTAGCAAAAACCCAGTTCTACCATAATCCCCCTCCCAAAAGCCCCGATTTTACCCTGCATGCCCCGGGGGCACCAATTAGCAAGGTAAAGCCGCAGCCCCGATCGGGTGTATTCCCGTCGAGAAGTCTGGAAACCGGTCTCCCGCCACTCGACAGTACATTGACTTCCTATGGCCTGCAATTACGCGATGATCCGCTGGAGGTACGTAGCCCCCGAGGGCATGCAATCCCCAATTCTCTCTGCTCGCCTCTCTCTCCTTGTCTATCTCTCTCTCTCTCTCTCTTTCTTTCTCGCTCTCTCGCTCTCTCTCTCTCTCTCTCCCACTGCTGACCTTCGCTTTCAAGACCGGAAATGGAAAAGTCGAGTCCCGCGGGGGGAATTTTGGGGTGCCATTGTATCTACCGGCTGTACGCTACGCTACTCGCAACACCCCTGGGTACTGTAGAGCGTTTTAAATTCTTAAAAACATCGTTTAAACGTATTTTTTTACCAGCACAATTATTACCGCCTAAAAACTACCGTATCCCCAAGCTACAGTACCCCCAATTCCAGGATGCTCCTCCTGTCATTGTTGTCGCTCGTAGCGGCAGTTTTGGGTTACTGTGGCCCGAGGCCTTGCCAGCGACCATACGCTCGACCCTCTTACTATCAACCCCAGCCTCTGGGATATCAACAACCAAGGGGTATTACTGTACTTGGGATATCCGATTACGCCATGAAATCAATTCCAGGCGGCTACGCGACTGGGCCATACACATCTCCAGTGGAATTAGCGCCTGGAAGTCAGCAGCCACTACCACCGATTGATCAGCTGGTTAATAAGGAGGTACGGTAGCTTTAGCGCTTTTTAGGGATGTCATGGTCCCTCTAAAACGAGCTACGGAGAGCAACAGTAACCCAAAAAATTCAAAGTTTTGAGGATAGGTTTATTGGGGTTTTGTTAAGCTATGATCAAAATTTAGGTTCCCTAGCTCCTCTATTTCCGGAGCCACAAACTACTGAAGATTCCTACCTATCCCACCCCTTTTAAAACGCATCTTCAGGTCGCCGAGCTAACCGGATCCAGCAAAACAGACGCCGACCTCATCTCCAAAGCCTCCCCGAAAACCCTAGAAAGCCGTGACGATGCTAAGGTATCGATTTTCAAAGTATACCTGAAAAATTCTAATTTTTCTAGGACAGCTTCGACGACTTCGAGAAGCAACTGGCTGAGCTGAAGGTGGCTCACGGGAGTCAGCCCGAAGATGCGGAAGCTTCAAAGGCTTTAAAAACCGCTTCAGAAGATCCTAAAGGAGATGAGGCTGATGAAAGCGCGCAGCAGCAGCTTCTGGTAGCGGCAAGTGCACTTCACTGTCCCTTTAAAAGTCGTTGCACACTGTCGGGCGATCTAGTCGCAATTCTTTGCGAAATTGGAGGGGTAGGCTAGCAGAGGATGTTGTGGAATTGGAGGGGCAGGCTAGCAAAGATTCTTTGAGAAATTCTAGTCAAAAACTCATTTCTAGAGCGCAACTTCGCCGAGCCCTCAGGCTCAGTCTCCCCTGTATCTTCGGGGCGGCTTCCAGACCCCAGGCGGAGGTACCGGATACGTACTTCCGCCTACAAGCTATGCGAGGCCAGTACCGTATCGCCCGACGTACTACGCACCGCCACAGCAGCGATATCCGATACGTGAGGCTTTTTGGCGTCAGAGAAACGATTACGAGATAAAATTCGGCTAATTGGATCGATTAATATACTAAACTGGGTCATTATAATGAATTACGACGTGAAATTCATCTATTGAAATCCTTACGACATGAAATTAGTTCGTTTCAAGCAATTATGACATGAAAATCACAGAATTGAGCCGTCCAGGACATGAAATTAGCGATTTAAGTAGATTACGCTTGAAAATTTGTAAAGTACCATCCATCACGACATGAAATTCGGATTCTCGTATCGATTACGCTAGGAAATCCGATTTTTCAGAGTGCCCGCCTCCGCAAGCCGCCCCATCCTACGCTCAGCCGCAACCGTAAGCCTCTATTACGTTTCTAGGGGTATTAGCCTGGGACGATTACGATAGCTAAATAGCGCTAAAAATCTATAAAAACGCATGGAGTGTTGTGTGGTGTAGCTTGTAGTTTGTAGTCCACGTACAGTTTGTCGTTTTGCAGTGGCTATGGCTATGGCTCTCTGCCGGTTGTCCCGTCCCCGTTGGCCGTGACGCCGTTGCCGCTTCCGGCTGAAGGTTGGCGCTTTGCCAGAGCTCGATGTTAAGGATTTTCCATCGAGAATCCTAGTTTTTACGCTTCCGTTTTCAGTTGACACGCCCCAGCCACCGCCACCGCCCTCGCCATTTACCAGGTTTAAAAAACTGCTATTTTCTTGGTTTCTGAGTTCAAAATTTTTAGTTTTGTAGCTTCAGCGGGCTTTTTTATGCGTTAAATTAGCATTTTTAGCGCTTATTAGTGTGCTGTGGGTGTTTATAAACTAAAAGTTTACCTAAAAACCAAAAAGCAAAAAGCTTGCGCCGGGCGGGATCGAACCCGCGGCCCTATCCAGGCAGGAAAACGCTCTACCACTAGGTCAAGATGATTAGGACAACGTTGAACGTCTAAGATCTCATCAGATCTCTAAGGATCTAAAAAGACAAAAAAGTTACCCCAAAAATTATGGTAATTTTTAAGGTACTACGCGCCAAGGAATGAATGCTGTGGAAGGTGCCGATCCCCTTGTCGCTTCACGGCCAGTAAAGCTGTAGGTTTAATAAATTAGATTACAAAATTAGAATCTAAGCCAGCTTACGCTTCCTCTAAATCGAAAACTAAATTCAAAATTATGCAAAGTCAAATAAAATTTTTTAGCATGGCGTCTCCAGTCACTTGAAAGGACCGCATCAGCAACAGGTAAGGCGTTCGAGGTCACCCATGGAAATCGGCCATATCGATAGGCTTAGGCTTAGGCTTAGGCTTAGGCTTGGCTTAGGCTTGGCTTAGGCTTGGCTTAGGCTTAGGCTTAGGCTTAGGCTTCCGGCAAGACCCTTGAGCAAATTGGTTAGACCTCGTTCTCCTATCCGTCCTGGCAGTGGGCCAGGTGGGGGGCGAGTGGGAGGAGCCAAAAAAATTCAAGAATATTATGCAACCTTCAAAAAAATCTCAATTTTTCAATTTTTTTGCTAGCAGTTTTGACTGCCGTTTTTTGATGGCCTATTATAATTACTGGACTAAAAGGCACAATTTAGCGCCGCGAAATCGTGAACGCCCGCTGCAACAGCCGGAAATTGGAGCGAATTATGACCGAGGTAAGGCAGGAGAGACGGAATTTGCTCGCGTAATCGATTAAAACCGGGTGAATTTGACCGAATTAAATGGTGTAATTGATTACGCCATGATAATAGACAACTACAAGCTAAATTTAGACAATTTCAAACGACCTGGCCAAATCGAAGCGGACGATACAGAAATTCGCCGAGGAGCTGCTTGGCGGGCTATTTTCGGTGACGTGCTCGAAGGGGGATTTTAGGCAAGTTAAAATCGAGGAGTTAAACTACAAAATACGCTATTTAAAACAGATTTAATTAGCTTAAAACTTTCTTAAATCGTAAAATGGAAAAGGCAAAATCCAAAAAAAATCAACTTTTAGCTACGTCTCGCGCTCCGAGCAATTTTGCCAACTCGAAAAGAAGGGCACCGTCTGTTATGCGTTCCAGCATCGATAATTTAACTTACAATTTACTTTATACAATTTTTTAAACTTTGAAAATCCAAAACCCATAATTTCTAGCATTTTCCAAAAGCGATTCGTAGCCATTTTCCAATGATCTGCCGCGCATTTTTATCGATTTTAAATATACTTATTTATCGTTTGATTTTTCTTTTCACAAGACTACAAAGTACAACAAATAACACACCAGCACAATATTTAATTCGTTTTTGAAGTGGAAAACCATAAATTAAGATTTTTATAAATTTGTGTGCCTAATTTGGAGAGCAAAAATCGGAATTTTGAGGCGGCAACGAGCAGAGGGCATTGTGGAATGTTTTTGGAGGCGGCCGGGGTGGATTAATACTTAAAATGAGCATCTTCGGCTTTTTAATTTTTAAAAATTGCTAAAAATCGCCAAAAATGTCCATGACAACTACAAACCACAAAATACAAAAAGGCACACTAATACTTTGGTATCGTCGAGCAAAAAAGGCAAATATAAATTTCGTGCGTAACCAATTACGCCACGAAAAACGAGAAGGCACTTCTGGCAGCCAGAGCGAGGGTCGAAAAATGAGGCATAAAAATCTGCACAAAACTACAGAAAACGACACGTTACGCGGTACGATATGGATTACATGCCGTAAGCGGATGCAAAAAATGATTAACTTGGCAATTTTAGAACTTTTTAGGGCTCCAAAAAATCGGAAAAATTCCAAAAATAAAACGACGGACAACGCCTATGTACACCTATCACAGTGGTTGCTGATGCGGGATTGGGGGATCCAGAAAAAATACAGGGTGAAAATACAGACTACAAAACCTCAAAAAGCCATAAAATACAGACTACAAAATCGAGCAAAATCGTTTAAAACAGGCAGAAAAATTCGCATAAAAATCCATTTTATTCCTCCAACATTCGGCGGATTCACACGACACGACAGGACGACGACGAAGAAGAAGAAAACAAAAAGAAGAACAAGGCACACACAATGCAATACAAAAAAGGAGAGGGAGGCGGGGCTTATTAAAAAAGAGATATACGCGCTTTACGATCCCTTTAAAAACACGAGAAATAGCATAGCAGAGACCCTTAGGGAAATGAGGAGGGGAGGGGATTATTAAGGGGGTGAGAGAGAGGGCACAGAGAAATCGAGTGTGTTAGAGAGCTAGAGAGGGAGAGAGGGGGTGAGAGAGTGCCGAGAGGCAAGAGAGAGAGAGGGCGAGAGAGAAGCAGAGATGTGGATGGCTTCTTCTTGTGTTGTGTAGGTTTAATTGCCCGAGATGTTGAAGCCGTACAGGGAAGAGCTGATCGAGCGGTGGCGAGTCAAGGTGGAAGAGGTCGGGCCGATTCATTCGTGAGGCTGAAAAAGAGGCGATTTTAAAGGGCCGTTGAAGGCAAAAATGACAATGACAATGAAGAAAAATGATTCGGAAAAAAGCGAAAGTTCGATTTCGAAGGGCCGAACGCGAAAATATCCAAATTTCAGTTTAAAGGGCTACTGAATGCACAAATCCATAGCCAACCGGCTAATAAACGTACCAGCGTGCCGAACGACTTCTGCAGGTGCTCGGTCCAGTGGTTCATCTGCGGGTTGCGCTCGCCGGGCAAGCACACGCACACCGGGCCGCAGAACGGGTGGGCAAAGCCGCAGTCTTGCGCCTGGAAAAATCGGAGTTAGATAAAAAAAATTTGGAAAAAACGATAATCCAAAGCACTCAAAAACTACGCACCTGATGAGCACAGCCCGGGAAGAAGCGGCAGCTCTCGCGCGGGTGCCACAGCGTGCAGCCCGTCTCCTGGCGGTGACGGCGGTTCTCCCAGAAGACGCACTGCGGGGCCGGTTTGCGGAAGCCCATGCCGGGGTGCATGCCGCCGGCGCCAGCGCCAGGTCCACCGCCTCCGCCGCCGTTCTGCTGCTTGCCGCCGCCATCTGGAGAAAAGGGAGATAGAAAGAGCTCTAAAGAAAACAGGCGGAACAAATCCGATCAGCGCGACATCGCCAAGTTCGAGCAGTTCGGCTAATTTGTATCAATTCCCTAAGCAATTCCGCACAACTTGATCAAGATAGCCGTTCGACTAATTTGAGCCCTTTCCGCAAAAAAATCCGCGAAATCCAACGAGTTCGAGCGGTTCAAAAATCCCAAAAAACTCACTGAACATGTTGAAGCCGCCGCCAGCACCGTTGTGGGCACCGCCTCCGTAGTCTCGGCCGCCGCCCGGGCCACCGTGTCCACCGCCGTATCGCCTGTCCCCGCCGCCGCCGCCCACGTCCATGTGGTCATCGTCGAGGTGGTGATGGAGCTGGTCGCGGAATCCGCCTGGAAATGGGAAAATAGAAAAGTTAGGCTTAGGCTTGTTTTTTTCTACGCTTGTAACGGCCCATTAAAGCAACAAAAAAACCGAATCCACTGACCCATATGTCCTCCTCGCATGCCCTTCGGCGGTCCTCCTCCGCCTCCACCGCCCATCATCATCATCTGCTGCTGCTGTTGGTGCTGTTGTTGCTGGGGATGATGGGGCATGTGTGGGCCATTGTGATGGGGCTGCTGCTGATGCGGGTGGTAGGGCCCTTGGGGGTACGGGTGTCCGCCTCCGCCTCCTCCGCCATTCTGGTGCTGCCACGGTCCGCCGCCGCCGCCAAGTCCGCCTCCCCCGCCGGGTCCATTCCGTTTCTTGTAGCGCTCTTCGGCCCGTTTCCAGGGGTTGTCGCCGAACGGGTTGCCGCCGTTGCCGGGGCCGGTGCGCGGCGGCTGAAAAAAGGCGGGTTAAATGAGGTCTAATCGATTACGCAATTAAAATCATTCAAAAAAAATTATTTTCAACCAACAAATAAAATTCTTAAAACGCACGTTTATCGGCAGGACGGGGCCGCCCATCTCGTAGTCAATGTCGCCGGCATCCGATGCGGGGTCTGCACCAAGAGCGGACGTCGCACCACCGCCCATCGCTTCACGCCGCTCACGCTCGCGCAACTCCGAGGCGCCGATGGCAAACGGGTCGCCCATCTGGTGGGCACCGACGGGACCCGGGGGCTTGTCCTCGCGCTCCGACGCCAGGTTGTCACTGAAAAGCGGAAATGGGAATAGATATGGTGATCTTCCGCAAAGAAGCTCTGCTAGCCTGCCTTTAAAGGGTCACAGGGCCCAGAATCCATAAAAAAAATCCAGTACCTTCCCATCAGCTTGCTGTAGGGGTCGGTGCGCATCGAGGAGGCACGGGTCGGCTTGGCGGCTCGTCCTCCAGCTCCGCCGCCGACACGATGGTGGTGCTGCTGGTGGGTGGGGCGAGCATCTCGCGGATCGGCCAATTCTAAAGGGATTGGTAAGTGAGAGGGTTATAGCGAGAGATAGAGAGAGACAGAGAGAGAGAGAGACCAGAAAAACTGACTGCTATTGTCCGTGTCCGACTGGGTGTTGTCCTCCTCCTCGTCGGCGGCGTCGTGGATGAACAGGGCGGCCGGGACGGAATGCGGCGATTGCTGGGGGCCATATTGAGGGGGGTCCTGGAACGAAAAAATAATGACAAAAATTTAATTTTTTCTTAATAAAATAGTTTTTTATATTCTAACATTTCCACGGTTAAGAACATTCCAAAATTACTATTTTTGGCACATTCTTAAAGTTTCTAAAGTCTTTCGAACCCCTTTTGCTCAAAGCTAAATTTAGCCAAAAATACCTGTGGATCCTCAGCTGCCCCAACGAGCGACAGATGGCCGAGGTGTTGTGGCGGGATGGCGACAAAGACGTGGTGGGTGGTCGCGGCCGGGGTGGCGGCCGGCGTCGTCGAGCCGTTCGGGGGAGGTGGAGACTTGGCGACGACGGCGGCCGTCGACGAGGGGCCCGTGGCGATGCGGGGAGGGCTAAAATAAATCAGATTAGACTACAAACCATAAAATAACGATTTTCATAGCGTAACCAATAATTTCTGCAAAAACTCACAAAGAATGTGGCGGCAGCGGGAGCACGTCGGCCGGCTGGACGCCGGCGGCGCCGCACACGCGCCCGATCAGCTCCTCGAGGCTGAAAACAATGGTATAATTAAGAATAGAGGATTTAGAACGTTTTAAAGGAAAATTAAAGGCGCAGAAAACGTATTAAAAGTCTGTACCGATGATTGATTACGAGATCAAAATAGTGCTTTTCTAGCTAGCTACAGGAGCCAGGAAATCAAGGACTCACTTTAAAAAATCTAACCAATTACGAGACATAAATCGCCACGCCCTAATCGATTACACCATAAAATTCGCCCTCAAAAAATTGCTAGCTCCTATAAAAATCTCAAAAATTCAATGCCTCAGTTGGAAAAAATCGTACAGTTCAGCGGGCCGTGTTTAGTGGGTCGGGAAAAACCCATGTATTTCACCCAGGCCGCTCACACGGGCGAAGGGCACATCGGAAATCGAACACAAGCAACCAGGTAAGAAGAGGAGGAGGAGGGGGAAATGGGGGTGAAGACCGTGAGGAGGGCAAGTGATCAGGTGTGGCCAAGGCGAGGGAGTGAGAGGGGCAATGCGAGAGAGAAACAGTACTCGCTTACAGGCCGAGAGGCGAGAGAGCGAGGCGACCATTTTGCAGCGAAAAGTCAATAATCGAGAGTGGCGAGGGGTAAAAAACAGGGCAGAAATGCTTCAAAATTTCAGGCAAAAACGAAGCAAGCTAGCAGAGATTCCGGAGGAAAGGGATTTCCAACAATTAAAGATCCCAGAATCTCAAAGATTAACAAAAAACAGTAGCAGACTAGCAGAGATACCTAGAAACTTCTTTCAGTCGATTTTAAAGGTCCCAGCAACCCAAAAGCTAACGAAAAAGCGCAGGCAAGCTAGCAGAAAACCCTAGCGCCGCGATTTTCTAGCTTCCAAGGAGCTAAAAAAACTTAGCAAGAGACTAAAAATACGGGCAAACAAGCAGAAAATCTTCCGGATTCTATTAATCCCATCCACAGGCCAACGACAGAAAGGCAGGCAGGTAGATATTGGCATATCGGCACGGTGCGGCAAACAGGCCAGGCGGCACCGACTGTCACAATGTGCCCCGAGGGCATACAAAAGAGCCGGCGGGGAAGGGGGGGGCAATAGGCGGATAGGGTCATACACACACACAACAATTGGGACCGACCTATAGTCCTCGCCGGAGGTGACGACCAACCGAAAAGAGCCCCAGAGGGGGTACGGTGAATGCGCGAAAAGGCCAAATTGAGGGTGGCGGTATGGCCTTTAGCCCCCGGCCCGCTCTAGTAGGTGACCCCCCTTATTCTATACCCCCTCAGGATCGTCCGCTTTTTTATAAAGGTAGGTAGAGGGTCACACTTGAAAACGGGGACAGCCCGGTCGAAATCAACTACGCTCCGTAGGGCTACTATTGACCGCAAATGACAGGCTAGAAAATATTGGCTTAGCTTAAACCTAGGCTTAAATTTGGGCTCAGGCTTAGGCTTATGCTCGGCTCGGGTGCGCGCTTGAGCTCAGGCTTAGGCTTATCTTGAGATTAGGCCTAGGAATATGCCTACGTATGATCTTAGTCTTCTACCTAGCTCCTGCCTAAGGCAGCCGGCTTAAACTTAGGCTTAGGCTTAACTTCGTTTTGGCTTAGGTTTGGCTTCGACTTGGGCTTAGGCTTAGCTTCAGTTTAGGCTTAGCTTGTGCTTAGCTTAGACTTAGGCTCCAACTTACACTTCGATTTTGGAGCAAAAAGCAACTTGAGCATGAGCTTAGGTGAGGCTAAGGCTCCGTCTTAAAAAAGCACAAAAACAACAGCAACAAAAACCTAACAACACCAACCATCTCTCTCCAAGAACACGTCAGCCTCCCAGGCAGGGAGCGCGAGGGAGTGACGAGAAACCAATCCAACTACCAGTAACCAACAACTCTACTGCCCGCCGGGACGGAGATCGGGATCGCCATCCCAAATGGGGGCGTGGCCGAGATTTTTGGGGAGCGAGAGAGAGAGAGAGAGAGAGAGAGAGAGAGAGGGAGAGAGAGAGAGAGAGAGAGAGAGGGAGAGAGCCAGAAAGAGACGGACAAACAGATCGTTTTAGTGTCGTGTCGCGGATAGCCTTGGCCTAGGTGGGGGAATGGCCATTCAGGGGAGCAAAATGCCCTGGGGGCCTGAATACCGTAACCACCCCTAGAGGATACTACCTTATACGGGGCCCTGGGAATGGGGCCCAAATAATTTGGGGGCCAAGGGCAGCTAGCAGAGGTTCTTTGGAGAATTCTTGAAAGGACTCTAACTCCGTTATTTTGGTACTTTATTGTTAACGGGGGGAAGATAATTTTGATTTTCCCGCCAAAAATAATAAATAGAGCATTTTTATAGAGTTTTCGATAGTTTTTTGATTGCTAGAAAGTTCTAAAAAATTTCAAAAATTGAAAAATTTACCCTTTTTAGTAATGTTTCATAAATTTTTGAGCAAAAAGTCAAACATTTTCGATAGTCCTGAACTTTAAAAAAAATTTTATCTCTAAAAAATGGGTAAATTGCTATAAAAATTCTTGAGTTTTATAACGTACGGCATTCGGAGAAAAATGTCTCCCCCGTTAACAGAAAAGAACCGTAATTCGTCCTCCGCGATGATCTCTGCTAGCAGCCCCTCCCCTCGTAAATCAAGGTAGCACCACTCAAGTCAGGTCGTCAAGTCAAGTAGAGTACTAAAACGGGGGGCGTGGAGCAGATTAGACAGATAGCCCCAGGTCCTCGCCCCAAAAATGGATTAGTTTGACCTTCGGAAAAAGTGGGGCCAACAACTCGTTCTCTTGCTCGTCCTCCTCTTAAAGAATCTCTGCTCGATGACCTTGTGGCCGCCAAAAGTGGCACTCCAGGGTGGGTAATCTGTGCAATAACCTTCAGCCCCCCGTGATCCCCCGAATAAATCCATCAGGAGATAATGAGTGAATGGCAGTAGTCAGTCAAGCAGTCACTACAAACTCATAAATTATGCAAAGTCAAGGCGATAGCGAGGGGAGTCGAGTCATTTAAGGTACTTGGAAGGGAAAGAGCTGATCAAGATTTCCGTAAAGTTTCTCTGCAAGTTTGCCCAAAAAATCAAATGATTTAGAAGCATACTACTCTTTCTGCTAGCTTGCCTCTAAAAAATTCCGAAACGTTCTGCTAGTTCTTAGCTCGAAAAAATTTCAAATCCTCTTTTCTGAAAAAAATCCTCGTATCTAAAGTACAGAAACCATAAAAAAAACCAAAACCAGATCCCAAAAAATTCCAAAAATCTCCGCTAGCCGGCCCGCTCGCCCAGGGATCTAAATTTTTATTGGGGGTGCCAATAGGCCGGTGGAGAGCCGTTTGGAACGGGAACCGGTTTCGTCTGGGCCGGCAGCAGTGAGTGCGAGTGGAATGGAATGAAAGGGAACCGGGAAGCCACAGCGAATCGGCCCAATTCGTCGATAGTCTAGCCCCGCGGAACAATAATCGCACAGTAAACGAAAAAAATGAAAAAATGAGAGCGAAAAATTTCGGCAATACGGAAGCATGAAAAAGTCGGGGGTTTGGTGCCGAATAAAAGAGAGGCGGCAAGCTACAGAAAAAAGGGGCAATCTGGGTCAGAACGGTCAGCCGGGAAGGTGGAGGGGGTCTATAGAAAGGCAGACAGACGGACATACATCCACTTCACACCTTCTTTTGACACACATACTAACAGAGAGCGAGAGCGGGCGAGAGAGAGGCTGAGAAATAGAGGCTGAGCAAGAGCTACCTAAAAATACCGTAAAAAAATCCCCAATTTAGTCCTCAAGGAAAGACCTTAGTGGAAACGATACCTCACTCATATCAATCCGGTCCCCTATATGCCCTCAGAGCACAAAGCGAGAGAGAGAGAGAGAGAGAGAGAGAGAGAGAGAGCGAGAGAGAGAAAAACAGACAGACAGAGAAACAAACAGTCACACAAACCATATATTCGGTTGTGGGGGTAGAGGGGGTGAGGTGAGGACACGGTTCCTGCCAGAGTATCCGCAGGGCAATATTTAGCGACAAAACGGAAGAGAGAGAGAGAGAGAGAGAGAGAGAGAGAGAGAAAGATACTGTTTGCCGAGCCCTCCTGGCCCTCACCTATCGAACGTGAACAGTCTGCCCACAACAAACAAACCCTAATTTGGCAAAGTTCCAAAAGCGAGGGAAAAAATAACTTCCGATTCCTTTAAAAGCAAAAAAAAAAACCCAAAGACGAGGGACGGTTTTTGGGGGAAACAAAAAAGCCAGGAAAAAAAACGAGACTCGAAACCCCAAAAGGCAGGCCCAAAAAAAAGAGGAGTCGACTCGCGGCCTTCCCGGGGGGGGGGGAGAAGATAAAATGCTCTAGAAAAAGGGGGTAGAGGAGAGAGAGAGAGAGGGAGGGAGAGGCGGAGGGAAAGCTGGAGCTGGAGCTGGAGCCGGGGCTGAAAAGCGGAAAGTGGGCCAATGCCCTTGGATGGGTGATATGACCTCGTGTATTCTCGGGCTGGGTGGCTGGCAGTGCTGGCCCGGGCGGCGATTCCTCAAGAATCTCTGCAATCTCTCCCCCGGGCCGCTAATCAAATTAGCCGTTTTTACAGCACGCCTGGCTCCCGACCTTGACCCGGTTTTTCGAAAAAAGAGCGATCTGCGGAGGAGGGAGGCGAGGGCAGAGCGGGGGCTGGGAAAGCTAGCAAAGAGCTTTTTGAAAAAAGGTCTGAATGGATAAGCCGAGGGGCAGGCTAGCAGGAATTCTTTGTGGAAATCGGCACGGTACTTCTGAGACACAGCAAGCTAGCAGGGACTTTTAGGAAGACTAAACGAAACATAAAACTCCGCTCAGCAAGCTAGCAAAGGCGATTTGCGGAAAATGGCCGGCAGGTTGGCAAATATCTTTTCGGAATTAAAAAACCCTAGGCAAGCTAACAGAGCTCTTTTAGGGATTCTGAAAGCCTCCAGGCAAGGTAGCAAAGAACTTTTGGGAATTAAAAAACGCTTATGCAAGCTAGCAGAGATCTTTTTAGAAGATGATGCAATTCTCTAGGCAAGCTAGCAGAGACCGTTTCGGAAATTCAAAAACCCCCTAGGCAAGCTAGCAGCAATCATTTGATCTCGTTCGGGCCCTTCTGGGAGGTGATAGGATAATTGCCCTCCTTCCGTTCCCATCCAAATTGCACCCCCACCAAAGATATCGCCGGGGGACCAATAGATGGTTATCACCCATCACAACCCCCCAAAAAGGCGGCACCTTTTTGTCGCCAAGCACACACCCCCATTCGATTTCGGTGCTATTTGGCCGTATTGCGTCCGGATTTTTGTGGATGCTAGCCGACACTAAAGGCGGGGAGATAGAGATCTAGGGCGTTTTGCGCACCCTCTGAACCCCCCGAAAACGTCACACACCTTTGTACGCGAGGCCGACAAGCCGGCTAAAGGGATTTGGAAGGTAAAAAGCAGACGGAAAATCCCTGAATTTTCTGAAAAAATCTCTAGCTTGCCTTACGCTTCTTAAAATTCCTCAAAAAATCCCTGCTAGCTTGCCCATCAATTCAAAAAAGCAGGGATTTGGAAGGCAAAAAGAAGAAAAATCCTGAAAACATCCCAAAACTAAAAACAACCCCGCTAGCTTGCCCTAGCATCCTGAAAATTTCTCAAAAAATCTCCACTGGCTTGCCTAGAATTCTTAAAATTCCTCAAAGATCCGCGCTAGCCTGCCCATCAATTCAAAAAAAGCAGGCAAATGATTTCCGCAACTGAACAAACTACAGGTGAATAAATAAACCATGCGATAATCGATTACGCCCGGTAATTCGATGCCTGCCGATTTGATGAGTCGTCCCCGGAGGGCCATCTGTGATTGTTTATACAAAAAAGGGAGTAGAGGGTGGCACGACTACGCTACGCTCCACTCCACCCCGCTCCAGCTGACAGTTTATAACAAACTGTCAACAAACAATGCCTGGGGGGATATTGGATAGGGCTGGATGAGGAGGACAGGTGAGCAGTGGATTTAGCAGTCGCTAAAAGTGCAAACAAACGCTGCAACCTGCAGAATTCTACAAAGAAAACCTAGGCTACGAACTAAAAAATTTTAGATCAAAGGCCGTGAAATTCGAACTACATAAATTCCTGAAAAATTAGCCTACAAACTACAAATTTCAACCGGAACGCTAAAAACCCTTCAAAAACCCGGTCATGCGCCAAAATGGCGATTACAGGCCCAAAATAATGTCTAAAAATAAATTAGACTACAAGCTACAAACTCTGCGACCATAAAAACCGCACCAAGCTCCAAAATAGCGACTACAGGCTAAAGATAACGGCTAAAAATCATACTAAAAAATCCAAAAAATTTCGGCTTTAAAGAAAATACTCTAGACTACAGGCTACAAAAGCTAAGCTACCAAAAAAAACCGGAGCTCCTTCCCCCTTGACCCCCCAACCAATTCAATCGGGCACGGGAACCCCACGGCTAGTCACCGGCTTAATCATACCAAAACACTACAAGGGACGCCAAAGGACGCGTGATTCCGCTTTTTTCCTATTCAGTGGGTTACAAAAGGTGAGTGATCGGGGTCGTGCCGGCCAGTGCTGGGCACGGAAGAGTCAAAAGATATTTAGAAAAAAGTAGGACTACAAACTACCAAAAAAATGCAGGCCTACCGTACTCTAAAGTCATGGGCTATAAAAATGCGCAAGTTCCAGCCGCAACTACAGACTGAAAAAATACGCAAGGTAGATTACAAAGTACAAAAAAATGCGCAAATTCGAAATCTAATACGGACTAAAAAACTGAACTCATAGGGCCAGAAACTACAAAAACTTAGCAAAACGCTAAAATACCTCATGGAGGTTAGACTACAAACAACAGAGAACCACGCTAAACCCCGACTAAGCTACAGAAACAAACTACAAAATTACGCTACAGCCCCAAAAATCCGCAAATTAGCTACGTAGGGTTAGGTAAGTAAGTTTCAAACTTTACCTCTTCCTGATGTGCTCCGTGTCGTGGCCCTTGATGACGACGACGGCCTCATTGGTGATGTCGTTGTAGTGGACGAGGTACTGGAGGGGGCTGAGGAGGGCCATCGCGTCGGCGGTGCTCATCCCGGGCATCTGGAAGCGGAAATGGGATTTTGACATTTGGAACCTAGTAAAACGATTACGCCATGAAACACGCAACGTAAAAATCGGCGTATATCGATCACGGCATGAAATGAAGCCGAGCCTCTAAAAAAATCTATACCTGTACAAGAAAGGAGCGCGAGTGGAGGGTGATGATGAACGGGGGCTCGTCGCCGTACATCAGGTCGTCGACGCGGACGCGGGGCTCGCTCAGCCCTTGGCCCTGCCATTTTCCGGGGCTGATCGCTACGCAGCGCCATCCGTCTCGCTGCAGCGCCACCAGCGTAGACTCGTAGCTGTCGTATTCTGCAAAAAAGAGTTTAAAAATAGGTTTCTTGCTTCTAAAACACGTAGAATCGAAGCCACTACAATCTCTCGAAAACGCGTTTTACACGTGATAAAACAATACGCGCTTCCAAATCCACGCACCAGCAATGAGGACGATGGTTCCGGGGGCCGGGGCGCCGAGCAGCTTCTCCATCTCGACGCACATCCGCTTGACGATCACGCCCTCCGTCGAGTGCTGGATGACGGTTTGCTGGAGAAACCGGATTTTGCAGAGATACTTGAGGACTTTTATACCTTCTGTTCCTCGAAATTGGTCAGCACATCCGGGTCGTTGCAGCGGACGTCGAGGAACACGGAGAGGGACGGGTCGATGCCGATTCGTTGGGCCACCTGAAAAATTGATATTTACCCGCGAATTCAAAAAGCGAGCCATTTTAAACCTTAAAAAACTATTTAAAGCAAGTAAATTTGCCGCTAAAAACAAACTTTACTAACGATTTTTAATACTTTTCAACCCTTAAAAATAAAAACGTGCCCTGGCGACAACATTGGGGATGTAGCGGGCGACGATCGGGCACGACGTGTAGTTCCAGAAGGCGTATGACGAGCGCGTCATCTCTAACCCGCCGCTCGGCATCTGAAAAAAAAGGGGAATAAGTAAAGTAAAAGCCCAGAAACATAAATGAGGAACGGAAAACGCGAAAATCGCAGAGAAAAGAAACTAAAAGCTCGAGCCAAAAACGCGCAAATTTTCCAGTTTTGCAAAAAGAAACTAACCGCGCTCGAAACGACTCAAAGAATGCTTTTGATTTTTCGAATTTTTGCAGCTTTAGCGCAGTCCCAATTCAAAGCACTTCCGGTCCAGATTTCGGATTCAAAATTCGATCTGAAATTTCAGGCGATTTGCCACCAAAACGGAAAACAAACGACAAAATCTTCCAAGTAAGCATCTTTATCGAATTTCCGTATTCACAAAGCACAATAATAAATATAAAAACACATGCTAGTAGTTAATTATTAAAAAATAGGCTGCCTGGGCGAGTATTCAGAAGACGGGGGCGCGTGTGAGCACGAACATGTATTCGGGCCATCCGGGACTCGTTCGAATAAAAAATTCGGGATTGGAGCCGCGGGCCTGAAGGACGACATCGTCACGACGAGCCCGGATCTCGAGCATCTTTCCGTCCTCTCGTTTCAGTTGCCCTCGAACGCTGCCCTCCGAATCCAGGGCAAAGCCATACTTGTTGACCAAGCCGGGCAGAACAAAGTCGAGAAACCCATCATAGTCGGGCCCCTCATATAGACGGCTATAGTTTGTCCAGTTAACCCAGATCGTCGCAATCTCTCGCCAGCCCGTCAGCCACTCGTCGATGTAGTGGTAGAAAACCTTGCACAACCACTCGTCCGCGTCCGCAGCCCGGAATGTGAACCTTGGCGTTTGGACGTTTAGCATAACTTCAAAATCTTCTTCTTCGACGTACTCATACACAAGAGCCCCTCGTGGAAATCTCCGGTCAGGGATCGGCCACGAAGCCGAGTTGGACTGAATGTGATATGGCTTCAGATAGTTCTGGATGATCTCCGTGTCCAGATAGCTATCGAACTCCGTCGGGCGAGTAGGGCATAAGGTTGTGCAAGTGAATCGTGGCTTCACTTTCGGCGAACAAGGCCGGGTGTCCGACCGTGTGTCGTAGAAGACGGTTTCCACATGTCTGCCGTCTAGCGCATTCCTGTCGAGGATGGGCCCCGATTTGGGTAAAAAGCTATGCTGATCGGGGTCGGGGAGGCGCCACTTCGGTTCAAAGCCCGCCAACGAAATGTCGAACTCGTCGCCCAAGTGATACACCGCTTGGACCGGAACGCGGCGACCAAGCACGGCGAAACGTTTGTGGCACTTCTCGACTTCCAGCAAGCTCAGGAAGTCCAACGGCTTCAGAATCATCTCGACCAACTCGGTGGGCAATTCGATCAACTCGCGAGCATCTGCCACAGATTCCTCCTCTTTGTAATTGTCGATTTTAGCGTTGGCAAGCAGAATCTCGGCTTCTTGTTTGTCGTAGCACTCATAATCGATGCAGAAAACCTTGGAGGTGACGAAGACGTACTTCCAATGTTTCTCCGAATTGCGCACCAGCTCCTCGACTTTCGGGTCCGATTTGGCGAGCTGCAGGAGAGAGGGAATATCCAGAAACCCGGCGATCACGTTGAAAACCTTGGGCGGCAGCTTGAGAAACCAGCTTTCAGGCGTTGCACGTAAGGCCAGGGCTGGCGTCTCAGCCTTTGGGTTTCCATCATCTGGCCCCTTCTCGAGATCAACTGATGGCGCGACGGGCTTCGGGCGCGCAGCTCGTCTCCAGCAGCACAGAAATCCGGCGATAGCGTTGTTGAGCAGCAACCTGAGCAGCCAGCTTCGTTTGGGCTTGCTTTTTGCCGGAGACGTTGAGGAGGGCATCATTTCATTCCTGGAAAAAAATCATGAGAAAAGGGGTAAAAATAGAGAAACCAAGCTGGAAAAACTAACTAGTCTTATTATTCTGCTTTTTTCTACTTTTTTTGTTGTTATTAGGTTCTGCTTGCATTTATAATGGAAAACTTATTTAAAAGCTTCAAAGTAAACTATTTTCAAATTTTTGTCGATTTTTAATTTTTAGCCTGGAAAGAAATCAAAAAGTTCGTTCCGTTTGCTACAAATGACGTAATTTGTGGATAGAAATGCGCGTACAACGAGAAAAATGGATTCTTGTTTGTTTTTACTTATTATGAAAAATTAAAATAAAAAAGATAATATTAGTTTTATTTTGTATTTGCCAAGCGTGAAAAAGGCTTGGGTTTGTTATTTATTTGATTCCTTCGATTTCTTTCTCTTTGTTGCCTGCTTTTATTGATTTTGTTTGTTTCAGGGACGTAATGATGCCCTCGTCGACTCGTCAACCTAAGAAGAACCGGCGGCTCAACATCTTCAACGCCATCGCCGGATCTCTGTGCTGCTGGAGACGAGATGTGCGCCCGATGCCCGTCGCTCTCGAGAAGGGCAGCGAGGAGCCCCGCCGTGCAACGGCTGAAAGCTGGTTTCTCAAGCTGCCGCCCAAGGTTTTCAACGTAATCGCCGGGTTTCTGGATATTCCATCCCTCCTGCAGCTCGCCAAAACGGACCCGAAAGCCGAGAAGCTGGTGCGCGATTCGGAGAAACATTGGAAGTACGTCTTCGTCACCTCCGACATTTTTTGCATCGATTATGAGTGCTGCGACAAACATGAAGCCGAGATTCTGCTTGTCAACGCTAAAATCGACAATTACAAAGAGGAGGAATCTGTGGCAGATGCTCGCGAGTTGATCGAATTGCCCACCGAGTTGGTCGAGATGATTCTGGAGCCGTTGGAATTTCTGAGCTTGCTGGAGGTCGAGAAGTGCCACAAACGATTGGATGTGCTTGGCCGTCGCATTCCGGTCAAAGCGGTGCATCATTCGTTTCGGGAGTTCCACATTTGCTCAGCGGGCTTTGAACCTCAATGGCGTTTGGCGGGTCCGGAATGGCGTTCACCCCCATCGTCGACTATCTTGGAAAGGAAGGCGCTCGATGGCAGACACGTGGAGACCGTCATTTACGAGCCTTGGTCTGTCACCGAATCGTTCTCGCCGAAAGTGAAGCCCCGGTTCACATGCACTAATCTGCTCTATCTGGAATACCACCGCGGCACCCTGTCCCTGCCGATGGTGGATTGCTATTTGGACATGGACATCGTACAGAACTGCCTGAAGCCATATGACATCTGGACTTCCGTCATTTCGTGGCACTTCTCCGACACGACATTTCCGCGAGGGACTCTTGTATTTGAGTACGCCGACCAGGATGATGCAGAAGCCATGCGAGGCGTTCAATCACCAAGGTTCGCATTCCAGGCTGCGGACGCAGATGAGTGGTTGTGCAAGGTACTCTACCACTACATCGACGAGTGGATGGTTGGCCACCGGGAAATCGAGACGATTTGGCTTTGCTGGCAATTGGTCAGCCATCGCGATGATGTGCCCGACTACGACGGTTTTGTTGACTTTGTTCTGCCCGGCTTGGTGAACAAGTACGGCTTTTCGAAGGATTCGGAGGGCATCGTTCGAGGGCAACTGCTACGAGATGACGGAAAGATGCTCGATATCCGGGCTCGTCGCGAAGATGTCGTTCTGCAGGCCCCCGGTGCTGCCGCCCTTGTACTCTCTAAGGATTGGTATGGGATAGAAACAACGAAGGATTCGCCCTGTCAAATGCCCGTCTTCTGAATACTCGCCGAAAACGATAAGAAGAGCGGATTTCCTTTTTATAACTACTTGCCTGGTGCTAATCTATGTATTTATCTTTTCCTGTGAATTCTGAAGAATCGATAAAGATTTGGTTTGAAATTTGGCGAATTTTACTGATTTTCGCTTTGACTGCGTCATCTAATTTCGCTATTTTTTTGATACAAACCGAGTAGCTGTGTCTAAAAAATGCCTTTCACGATTGATCCGCGCTTTTTTCAATTTCCTAAGCGTTTTAAGCCTTTTTTTCCGATCAATTAATTATTTATTTTCAGGACTTGATGTCGGCCAAACGCCGAAATTCGTCCATGCAGCCGGAGGAGCCGGACAAAGTGCCCGAGTCGCGAAGCCTGCTGCTCACGCTGCCCGCCAGGATCTTCAACAACATTGCCGGATTTCTGGATTCATCGTCTCTTCTACAGCTCGCAAATGCGCGTGACGCGCTTGAAAAGATGGTGCACGATTCGGAGAAACATTGGAAGGACGTCTTCGTCACCTCGGGCATTTTCTGCATCGATTATGAGTGCTACGACAAAGGAGAAGCCGAGATTCTGGTTGCCAACGCGAAAATCGACAATTACAAAGAGGACAAGACTGTGCCTGATGCTCGTGGATTGATCGAATTGCCCGCTGAGTTGATCCTGACGATCCTCCAGCCTCTAGAGTTTGGCAACCTACTGCAGGTCGAGAAATGCCACGAAATATTGGATACGTTGGGTCATCAAATAACGATCGGTTATGTGAGCCACGGCCCCAATGCTTTTAACGTGTCTGCACGTGGATTAGAACCGGCTTGGAAAGTCACACATCGCCGAGCGCCGAACCTATTGTCAATTCTCGATGATAGGATTTCGGCGCTTATCCCTCCCCACGAAGTACAAGTAGCGCCTACCACCTATGACATGTCGATGTCCTCGTTGGATGGCAGACACGTTGGAACCCTCGATTACTATCCGGCATCTCGTTATCAGTACGGTTCGATACAGCCAAAGGTATAACCAAATTTTGTACAATTAATCAAATTCTCCTAGGTGAAACCGAGCTTCACTTGCCGAAATTTCTTCTACCTCAGCGCCGGTGATGATTGCTATATGGACAAGGAGATTCTGCAAGATGTCCTCAAGCCGGAAAATGTCCTCTCGGAAGAGTTGACCGATTGCCTGTTCGGCGTCGACTTTCCGAAAGGCTCGCTAACGCTGGAGAACGTTTCTGGGTACGAGATGGACAAGATCAAGGACTTACGAGTGCCGAGGCTCTGGTTACACACCGACTTCTGCTGGTTTACAGAATCGCTCCTGGGCGTGCTTTTCCACTTCATCGACGAATGGATGTCCGGTTGGCGAGAGATTGAGACGGTCTGGCTCGAGCCTTATAACCCAGACGTCTGGCAAGGCACCTACTATTCTGAATCGATGGCTGATGAGGTAATTGTGGAGGATTGCGACGCCACGCATGCGGCGCAGTTTTTAGACATGCCGGAACGAGCGAAACGGTGCGGAACGGCATTTTAGGTTTGTTTTTGGTTGGTTTTCCATTTATTTTATTGCGTAATTTATTTGCCAATTTCAGGATCTCCATCGCGACGTCGTCGTCAAGCAGTTCTTCAACAGCTTGAGCGGCTTCTTCTCCCGACGTGAAAGGTACGATTGTATAGGCTAACAAATATTCTTTTTCTTTTTAGGCAGTGTAAAGCACGGCCGGAAGCGGATGAGGAGAAGAAGCTCGGGCTGGAGAAGGACAGCAGCGACAAGGAGGAAGATGATGAGGTAAATTGAGTATCTTTGCTTAGCTAGCTTAGTCAGTTTAGTGATTTTTGCGCTGAGCTTAGCGGACTTGTTTCTGTAGTTTAAAGTTTTGTTTACAACTTGATCTTGGTCTTTTTATGCTAGATTTCAGGCGTTTTTCGATAGCAAATGCCTTACGGGACTAAATTTTGTAAAGCTGCCCCGGCTTTGCGCGCTTCGTTCTTGCAGTTTTCTGCTTAACTTTGATTTTGCTATTTTTCGAATTTTCCTAGTGGTGTTTGGATTTTGCTTCGTTAGCTTTGCTTGCTTGCTACGGGACTTCACCTTTTTTAAACGCTTCAAAAACAGTTTTTTTTTCAGATGTCGAGACTCGCTGAAGACGGCGACAACGAATGGCGGATAATGAAAAGCTGAATGAAATTTCGCGCGCGCTCTCTCTCTCTCTCTCTCTCTCTCTCTCTCTCTCTCTCTCTCTCTCTCACTCACTCTTGCATGTGGTTTTTGAAGCGATTGAATATACATTTTTTGTGCCAATTTTTGGTGAATTTTTCTCTGTCGCTCGCACTCTGTCTCTCATTTTCTCTCGCTCTCCCCGTTTTTTTGCCTCTTTTCCCCTCTTCCCATTGCTTGTGAATTTTTAACGGATTGCTGAGAATAAATAACTTGAAGAATACATTGGTTTTGCGCCTGATACAACTACAAAAACAGAAAAATGCATCCTAACCTTAAAAAAGCAAATTGTATGGAATCAGATAAGCTTAATTTTTAAAAAAAAGCTGAAATACAGTCAATTTTCGTCAGGTTAGTGTTCTTTGGATGTTCTTGACGACCTAACCTCCAACTTGGGTAACCAAACGATTTTTGGTGAAATGGGTGTTCTTTGGGTGCTCCCTGCTCGCCACCCCACTCGCCCCCCGTCTGGCCCACTGTCTGGGCATAAGGGCCGACCATTTTTCGGGCTAGTCGGGTGGCATAAGGCCCCTATGCCCGGAGGGCGTACTCTGGCGAATCTATCGTTGATGCGATTGGTTCGTGATCACGGAGTGCGAACAGTTGGGATTTGACAAGGTGGTGGGAGCTTCATCTCTGGAGCTCCACCTCTTTATATCAAACAAACCTGGGCAAAGTCGACTTCGGTTTGTCTACCCTCGCTTGGTTTGAGAGCAGGCTGGTCCTTGCGTGAGCTAGGCGAAGCTCTGCTCGGATGGGTTGGCTTCGGCTTGTCCTGGCTGAAGCCCTGCTTGGCTTTGTCCAGGCAGCTGCTTACTCTTATCGTTGCCGCCTCTCCGCCGTCTGAATTTTGGAACAGCCCTGAAATGGGGAGGATCATCAGAAAATATTCGTTTTTCGAGAGCTATTTATTTTACCTTTTTACCTTTTTACCGCTATTTTACCTTTTTGCGGCGGGTGTGCTTTGAAGGTTCGCTGATCACTTCCGACTCGCCACCCGTTTGGACCACACTGAAACTATACCCCGGAAAAAACCTAGGGTGGAAGGTCGGGGAGGACGGCGGACTTACTATTTACATTTTTTTTAGATAGGCTTCTTTTGAGAAGTTACTATCTATTATGATAGTGTCTTTATCAAGAAGCATTAATAGAATGTCTTATAGAAGACAGAGATACTACCAATAAATAGTAATCTGATAAAATTAGTTTTCTTAAAATAACAATTATCAAGAACCTTGTGAATCTGAATCAATGATGATTTAAGAGAAGTCGGCTCCGAAAGCTTGTAAAACCTTCAGAGGTTCACCCCTACACCGGAGATTCTGGGCCGCGCCCAAATTTAGCCGGTCTCGGCTGAGCCTTATGTCCTGACAGTGGGCCAGATGGGGGACCAGTCGGTGGTGATCCGAGAGCATTCAGAGAACACACAAACATCATCCGCCCAAATTTCCAATTTCTTGTCCACCCTTATGCCCTGACAGTGGGCCAGCTGGGTGGCGAGTGGGCGATGGTCATCAGAGAACATCCAAAGAACACTCAGGGTACCAAAATTGGCGCGTTCAATTTGCTTCATTTTCCCTAATTTTGCTAGGTTTTGCATTTCTTAATTCCGTGTGTAGCTTTCAGTGCGTCTTGAGGTATTGCGTAATTGACAAATTATTAATTCATTTATTCAGACATTTTAATATTCGTTGAAATTCATTTTTATTTTTCCGTTTCTCCTCGTCGTCGTCGTCGTCTTCCTTCAGCTGTCGTTGGGACGTGTGGCGCGGCGTCTGGAAAAAATTGTTAAAGTTACGCGACAAAATAAATAAACAAGTCGCTGCCAAGCCACTGAGGCTTACGAAGTTAAAACTGAAGCTCGCTAGCCAAAATTTCACTAAGCCTAAGCAAAATTCGAAGCAAAGCCTGAGCTCTAGATCATCTAAGCAAAGCCTGCCGAGTCGCTACTACAAAAGACGTCAGGTTACGAAGCTAGTCAAGACTAACGAAAGCTAGTCTAAAAAAACGAAGCTAGCTAAGCCCGTGCTAAGCAAATAAAGCCAATTTACCTCGTCATCGTCCTCCCTCTCATTGATGTTCCTCACCATCTCGAGCTTCTGCTCCTCCTCGGCTTCCGGATGTGCTTTGCACCGCCTAAAATCAAAGAATCTTTGCTAATCTTTGCTAATCGTACCTTTCCAGCCGAGGAGGAGAAGTCCCTGGGCTGACGAAGAACTGCTTGAGGTCGGCGGCCTGTTGAAGGTCCTGAAAAAGAAAATGCACGCGCAAAAACGAAGCCTGAAATTTAGGAAAGCGCAAAAACGAAGCCAGCTAAGCTACCCTTAGCCTTCGCGAGTCAGTAGAAACGAGAAACAAACCTTGTGCCTTGTTCAGCATTGTGCCGCGCTTCCGGCAATTGCAGAAAGCACCTAAAATGATGAAAAATCGGTAAATACCTGCAAGAAGTGGAGATGAAGCAGCGGCAACGGCGCCCTCATCACCGAGACGTTCACAGCGCCTAAGAAAATAGTTGGTTTTATCAAAAAGAGTTTACAAACTACCTTAATACATTTGTTTAGCCGAGTGCCGCGCTTCCGGTCATTGTAGAAGATGACTAAAAACTTGGAAAACGTTATAAATACCTGCATAAAGTTGCGACGATGAAGCCCGCGCACATCACCACGTCGTTCGGCACCGCCTAAAATAGCTAGTTTTATCAAAAAGCGTAGAAACTACCTTGCTAGACCCGCTTAGCACAAAGTCGCGCTGTCAGGTTAGTGCAAAAATACCTAAAAACCTAAAAAATTCTATAAATACCTGCAAGAAGTGGAGTCGAAGCAGCCGCGGGAGCGGGCTCATCAGCACCTCGTCCAATAACTTCTAAAAACAAATCTGGATTGTATAAAAGATATAAGAAACCTGAATAATTGTTCAGCACCGCGCCGCGCAGCCGGTCATCATCTACAGGGTGTGCAAAAAAAAAGGCCACAGTTTGGGTCGAAATAACTCGCGAACGGTAGAGAATCGAAGGTACGTTACCATGCCAGAATGCTTAAATATGCTGGGCATGAAGATTTAACACAACTTGATTTTTTCGATTTTTGGCGACGTATCAATACAAATGACACCCGAAAACTGTGCGTTCGGGGAAACTTCATTTGTATTTTTCTCAGTTTCTTGTGGTGGCTGGCATCTAATTTTTATTAAGTAAGTTAATATAAGCAGCAGATAGGTACCTACAAAATTTAAGAATTTTTGAGGGTCTGGTTGAAAAGTTAGAGAGGAATGAAATTTTGTATGGAGAAATTTCGTAAATTTTTAGTATTGAAAAAACCTATGGCGAAAACCTCAAAATCAGTTGTTGTGGAATATCTACGAGCCCGTTACAATCGCATAAAAATTTTAAAAAAGTTTTTGAGATCGATGAATTTTCGCGTTTTTCAACGACCCCCTCGTCATGGATTTTTCGAGGCCCCGAAATCGAACTTTGGAAAAATATTTCTAAATTGCCAAAGGGGACTCAGCGGTTTTCTTTGCTTAGCTATGTAGTTCTGGGGTTGATCTATTATCTACGAAATTTCCAGCCACCGTACCCCTTTGGAAGGGCGTCTTTTAGGGCCTCCAAAACGGTTGGTTCGTGCTTTTTTCCGAATCTTGTCACCATTTTATAAAATTTAGTCGCGCTGTGAAAATTATCGTTTTATTTTTATCTGATACCATTTAAATAGCGCATCCTAAAGCCTTATTCATGAATTTTTTTTACCTGCCGTTGGCGCCAAGAAAATTTTTCAAAACCCGAAATAAACCGAATCGGAGGTTGCGTCAAAAAATTTTGGAAGGTGTAGTCGTACGGATATTTTGAGCAATAAGTCTGTGCTATCAGTTAAATAAAACTATGCAAAGATTAAAGCAATTTCACGTCGCAAAAATTTTAAAAAGATTTCTAAACTTCGATTTTGGAATAGGGTGATATTCGATTTTGAGCTGAAAGTCACCATAATCATGAATCAGATTGCCCCCAAATTTGACGGGCGTAGATAATAACATCAAAGCTATAATCGTATCCATAAGACCCAGCTCGCTTTTTTATTTTTAAAAATTCGAAAAATGACCCCGGCTACTCGGACCCAAAATCGGCTCTCGGGCATTGTTTTGCACTTGGCCTCGTAACTTTGTTATTTACCACCCAAAATCAGTAATTTTTAACAGGTTATCTTACAATCACCTCTAGAAGGTCCTCGAATAGAAAAATCGTCACTTTATGCAATTTTGTGATGGCATGCTAAAACGCGCTCCACGTGGGTTACTGTAGAAAACCGAAATTTGCGATTTTCGTGGTGTTTTTGCCATGGAATCGCTTCGATCTTTTCGGAAAACCAATAGTAGCAGTTTATGGACCATTTGACCAAAAAATTTACAAGATTCTGTGGCAGAATTAAAAAGTCAGTTTTTAGTCTTTTTCATGAACGTTTGTGGATAGTACGCTCTCGTACTTGGCAGCAAGGTGCCACTACTTATTGCCTAACAACCCAAAAAATTTCAGCCGGATCGAAGCTAGTAGCCCGGAGAAAAGCGGGAAAAACGAAACCTACAGTACCCCGCTGGGGCACGTTTTAGCAAGCAATACAAAAATACCATAGATTGTGGTGGAATTTGGTGTGGAATCCGAGATTAATATTTGGATAAGTCATTGGCAAAATATCAGCCATGGGCAGCGAGTTATGAGCGAGTTATGACTCAAAGAACAAAAATAACGCCAAATCGCGAAAATTGTTTTGCTTTTAAAAAATGAAATTGACCTCGATAAATTCTAAGATTTTGCCATTACATTTTTACAAATTTATACTATTTTTAGGCCAAAAATCAGAATTTTCCCACCTCCCGTTCAAGAACGCACAATTTTCGGTCGTAACCAGCGTCAATAGTACAGTTTCGTACTCAAAAATCGAAAAAATCAAGTTGTGTTAAATCTTCATGCCCAGCATATTTAAGCATTCTGGCATGGTAACGTACCTTCGATTCTCTTCCGTTCGCGAGTTATTTCGACCCAAACTGTGGCCTTTTTTTTTGCACACCCTGTAAAGGACCTAAAATCTTAAAATAAACTCTATAAATACCTACAGGAACTGGAGATGAAGCAGCGGGAGCGGCGGGCTCATCACCACGTCGTTCGAGAATTCCTAAAATTCAAGAGTTTCATAAAAAGGTACGAGAAATTACCTTACTCGACTCGTTCATCCGAGAACCGCGCTTCCAGCCATGCCTAAAAACTTAGAAAAACTTGATAAATACCTTCAGAAAGTTGCGATGAAGCAGCGGCAGCGCCGGGAGCATCAGCAGGTTGTTCGGCAGCGCCTAAAATAGCTAGTTTTCAAAATAGAGCATATAAATTACGTATTCTATTCGAACACCCCGATGCTGCTTTCCTTCCGTCGTTTTCGCCATCAGCTTCGCCTAAAAAAGTATAAAATAGCGTAATCTATTCCAAAATTGACTTTTAGAGCGAAAACTACAAAAAACCAATTTCGAACTCGGATTCTTGATGCAAAACCTTAGGAAAAAGCAAAAAGCGCACAATCTAGGCAGAAAAGCTTACCGTGAAGCCGATGAGGCGGAGAAGCCGCTGGAATTGACGAAGAACTGCTTGATGCCCTCGTTGCATCGAAAGTGCTGAAAGGACCGGATCAGTCACGAAATTAAAACGCTACCGACAACCCAAAGTGAAACAAAAACACACTTGGCCACTTGTTCTGCACCGCGCAGTGTTTCTGACCATTGTAGAAAGTATCTAAAAGTGTGAGAAATTCAATAAATACCTTTAGAAATTGAAGAAGCGGCAGCCGTGGGGCTCATCATCAAGCCGTTCGGCAGCGCCTAAAAAAAGCGTTATTAAAATCCTAGCAAAGCCAACCTTGATGCCGAGAAGCGGCCGAAGATGGCGAAGAACAACCTGGAGCCGGCGTTGAGTTGTGTTCCTGAAAGTATGAGTTAATCAGACAGCCAAAAGCATGCATTCACCCGGGTGTAGCTAAAAACAAACCTGACAACTTCTTAAGCATCTTCGACATGTTCAGCGTTTCCGGTTGATGTGTGAAGTTCCTAAAAACCTGAAAAACTCTAGAAATACCTCTAGAAAGTGGCGTAGGAGAAGCGGCAGCGGCGCACTCATCACCAGATCGCCTAAAAAGCTTTATTAAAACCATAGCAAAGCTAACCTTGAAACCGAGAAGCGGCCGAAGGTGATGAAGAACAGCTTGCAGCCGGCGCTGAGTTGTAGGCCCTGAAACGAACGAGTCGATCAACCAGAAAAAAAGCATGAGTTCAAGGAAGTAGCTAAAAACAAACCTGACGACTTGCTCAGCATGTTCAACGTGTTCAGGGTTTCCGGTTGATTTGAGCGGTTCCTAAAAACCTGAAAAATTCTAGAAATACCTCTAGAAAGTGGCGAAGAAGAAGCGGCAGCAGTGGGCTCATCACCAGATCGTTCGGCAACGCCTAAACAGAGCTTTATAAATATAGCAAAGCTAACCTTGAAGCCGAGAAGACGCCGAAGATGGTGAAGAACTGCTTGATGCCCTCGTTGGATTGAAGATCCTGAAAAGAAAGGATCAGTTACGCAATCCTACAACTGGCAGTTAAATAAAAACACACCTGATGACTTGTTCAGCACGTGCAACATGTTCAGCGTTTCCGGTTGATTTGAGAAGACCCTAAAAACCTGAAAAACTCTAGAAATACCGCTATAAAGTGGCGTAGACAAAGCGGTAGCGGCGTCATCATCAAGTCGTCCGGATATTCCTAAAAAGAAAGAGAGTTTTTAAACCAGAAATTACCTTTTTCCTTTGTTCCTGAAACACTGCCTTGGCGATCAACAGCGGGGCGAGCGACCTAAAACATTAAAATAGAACATCTATTCAAAACGTCAACAATTTTTAAAAACCTGCGCAACGCTTTTATTTTTTGTATCCCTTACTATACGTACGTATGAAAACCCTGTTTTTTAAAATAAATCAAAACTTAATCTAATATAATTCTAGCGATCTAAGACTTTTAAATTTATACTTTAAAGCAAAAATGTTTGACTAGCACTTTTTAGCTCTCTGATTTCTATAGTTTTTAAAGTTTATTAACACGAGATTAATCACAGAAACAATGATCAAATTGTCGATTTCTTTGTATTTCCTTAGCAAGCAAATGTTTTCTAATGCATTTGAAAGTTGTGGTTTGTGATTAAAGTCTATTTCTATGATTCCTCCACACTTTTAGGTTTTCAAAACGTACATAAAATAAGGAAAACACCAGCAAACGATTTTCAAGATGAATTTTTAGGTTATAACTAGTAAACCTTAACAAACTTGTTCGTATGCCTTTAAAAATGCAGCTGCGATGTATTTTACAAGCTCCAGAATATAATTAAAGTTTATTTCTTGACTTCCTATAATAGTTTAGGGTTTATTCAAACGAAAGAAACGAGCAAATCGTTTCTAAGGGATTTTCCAGGGCAGATTTTGCGCGTATTTCGTTAGTTATGCATTTTTAGATGTGGTATTTTGTGATTAAAGTTTATTTCTATGATTTCTATAAGATTTTAGGGTGATTCAAACGATATTAATCGAGGAAAATATGAGCAAACAATTCTCAAAACAGGATTTGCGAGCAAATGGGGGCGCCAGGATGGGCGTAAGCGAATTTCTGAGTTTTAAGGATATTTTAAGAGCACATGGGTAAAGCAATTATTTTTGAGATACCAACATAACGCGAAAATCGTATAAAAACGTAGCTTCGAGATTATTTAATTAAAAATAGACAAAATAACGAATTTCTGATTGATAAGTGAAGTTTGGCATGATCAAAACATCCGGAAAAATAAGGCAGAGCACCGAGGGCATCACGAAATTCGGGTTTTTATTTTTAGTTATTTTTAGGGTATATTTATGAAGGTTTTATAGTTTATAAAATGTAGTTTGTAGCCGGGGATCATTTAGAGACGTTGAAGACAAGCTTTTGGCATCTGATGTACTCGGCAAGGTGGGTGGTTAGCTGGAATTTTTTGGGGGTTTGGAGTTTGTAGTCTGTAGTTTTCGGATTTAGACAAATTCTACATGTAGTTTGGAGCCTGTTTCGTAGTTTGTAGTTTAGCATGTTGCCTGTTTTATAGAATTTGTAATTTTCAGTGTGTTTCATGCGTTTTTCTGACTTTCAAAGTGCGTTTTCTATGCGTATAGCTTTACATTTTTGTAGTTTGTACTCTGAATTTTGTAATCTGTATTTTCTACTATAGTTTATGCTCTAATTTGTAGTCTGTTTCGTGAAATTTGCGATTTTGGACGATTTTTACGAGGTTTTCTGTTTTTAACGTGATTTCCTTGCGTGTAGCTTTAATTTTTTGTAGTTTGTAGCCTGTATAATCGTATTTTGTAGTTCATAGCCCAAAAATACCTGCTCAATCTGGCACAGTTCCATGCTGAACGTCAGCCGTTCTTTCGGCGTCTCTTCCGGATGGCAATCGGGCGGCAGGACGCGTTCAACCTAAAATCGGGATTCCCAAAAAATCCCCGCTAGCTGACCGTGAGCATGAAGTCGCTGTGGAAGGCGCCGAACGCGACGAGACTGTCGAATGGGATGGAGCGGATCGGGTCCTGAAAAAAAAGGTAAACGAAGGTCTAAAATGCCGAAAAACTAATTTCAGTGCCAAAAATTCGGGGCAAGCTAGCAGGGATTGTTTAGGAAATGCAACTGGCTAAATTGGACGTTCGTTAATAAAATTTGGAGGCATTTAGAGGGCGATCTAGAAGAGATCCTTGCGGAAAAATAGGGGCAGGCTAGCAGAAATCCCTTAGGAAATGCAAATTTGGCAATCCACAAAGCAATCTAGCAGTGATTCCTTGCGGAAAACCCGTTGCAAAAGCACTAACCAGCTGTTTCCGGTCCAGGATGTGAAGGCCGGTGTCGTGGAGGGCCAGAACGACTCTTCTTTCATTGCTCGTCCTCAGCCCGGCTTCCCATAGAGAACTGCCAAAGAGTGGCCACTTCCGGAGCACCTGAAAAATAGAGTTTTTAGGCGGTAGCTAGCAGAGATTCTTTGGGAAGTGGGTAAGCTAGCAGAGATTCTTAAGGACCGTCTTAAAAATACCTGTAGTATCAATCGAATACATTCCGCCTCGCTACTGCCCGTCATTTGGCGCCAATTCTGGTCGAGGCTCGCGCGAAGCGTTCGCATATTCGCCACGTCGAGCATTTTTCGGGGGTAGAACCTGGAAAACGCGGATGTAGCAGAGATTCTTTGAGGGATTTGAAATCGAGAAAAATTTTGGGCGATTTAGCAAAGATTCTTTGAGGAATTCAGGGCGATCTAGCAGCGATTCTTTGAGGAAATTCTCGTACCTTGAGGTGACATAATCGAATTGTTGTTGGCTTGTCGACCCGTCGAGATCACCAAAATACAGTTGTCCATAGAGTGCCATGATGTCTTCAGCCAATTGGGGGCCAAGCGGCACCCTGCCCTCGACGATTTCCTCGGCCGATCGCCAGGCGAGGAAGCCCTAAAAAAGAATATGAAAAAAATTAAATTCGGAAATAATCGCTGCTAGCATGCCCTAGCCGGGGCAGCTAGCGGAGGAAATTAGCGGAAATGCCTACCCTCTCTATCATCGTTTCCGTGTGGGCAAGGTGGGGCCAGTAGTGTCGGAGACGAAGCTCGAGCCGGGCCACTTCGACAGCTACTCGTCCTCTTTTTACATCTCGCTCTCTTCGTTCCCAAAGCGTCAGGCAGTCGCAGAGCTGCAAAAAAACGCATATTTTAACGTACTGTAGCGTCCTGTAGCGTATCCTAACGGCATCGAGCGTATGTGGACGTACGAACGTACACAAGCGTACGCAAACGCGAAAAAATGATTTTTCGCCCAGCGTATGCCGCGGTACTGTAGCGTACTACATATAACGCAACCCAAAAAACGCCAGGAGGAAAAAACGTGATTCCGCGTATTATAGCGTAGCGTAAACTTCCGTACTGTCGGCTGCTACGCGTAACTAGGCGTTGTGTAGCCCGGAGTGCTATTTCGGACTCTAACGTAGCGTACATCCGCGTACTGTAGCGTACAATAGCGTCGCGTACACTTGTGTACGGTAGCGTACTAAGCGTTAGTAGGTAGCGTACAACCGCGTATGGTACCGCGTACTGCATCGTACTATAACGTAAATTATCGTACCTTCTGTTTCCCCTTCAACAGCTGTAGTCCTCCATTCGTCGGATGATCAATGTAGAGGGCATATCCGGAGAGTAGAGCCGGCCGCATTCCCAATTTAAGGCACAGTGAAGAGAGGCATTGCCCGACTTCGGTGGAGCCGTCGAATTCGACGACCTGAAAATCGGCGTTTAGAGTTTGTAGTATTTATTTTACGAGCGAAGGGGCAACCTGGCAGAGACAATTTGGGGAAAAAAATCTGAGCAAGGAGACCAGGCAAGCTATTGAAGAATTTTTCGAGAATTCCAGGCCAGCAAGCAGCGATTCTTATGAAAATTGAGACGAGGGCAAGCTAGCAGAGATCTTTTAGGACGCCCAGGCAAACCAGCAGTGAAAATTTGGGGAAGTCAAGGCAAACCGGCATGTTGAGATTTTAGGGAAAATCCGAGACACGGGCAAGCTAGCAGAGACCATTTGAGAAACACAAAAATCTCAAAATCTACCTGATAATCCCCATTTGGCAACTTGACGGAAATGGAGTGCGGGAATGTGGTGGCTGTGGGGTCTCGCGTCAGGATCGAAGTAGCTTCAAGGCGAGATGGGCCCTCGAATCGACCGCCCGTCTGTAGGCTACGCTCCAGGGCGGCGCTACAGTAGCCCGCGAGGCCGGCTTCGTCACCACTAAAAAAGAGAGTTTTACTGGTGTAATCGTTTAAACTCCGCAGAAAAGAGAGAGAGCGAGATAGAGAGATAGAGAGAGAGGAGAGAGAGACAGAGAGAGACAGAGAAAGACAGAGAGAGACAGAGAGCGAGAGAGAGAAACTACAAACCTTCCAGCGGCCCATCTCGAGATGTGCCTCCTCAACAGCCAGAGCAGGGCATATTGCTTCGGGAGGAAGAGGGGGAGGGCGAGCGCGAGGAGCTTCCAGCCTTGTAGTCCCCACTCCATCGAGCCGCTTGTCAGGCGAATCATCTGAAAAATAGGGTTGGCTTAGGCACAGGCTTAACTTAGGCGTTGCTTAGGCTTAGCCTAGGCTTTGCTTAGGCTTAGGCAGACCAGCAAAGACATTTTCGGAATGCTTACCTGTGCATACAGCTCATTCCGGACCCAATCCAGCTGGATTCCGGTCGACAGGATATTCTGGGCGAGGTCGATGTGGTACTGGACGGCACACGGCCGCATCAGCACGGCGACAAACAGGTGGCAGGCCTGAAAACAAGGTTTTAAAACCGGAAACGGCACGAATTTTAACCGGGTCCGGCTTTTAAAGGACCGCGAAAGGCTGAGAATCAGAATTTCCGAATTTTTAGAGGACCTTTGAAGCCAAAAAATCATGAAAATCTCTCACTTTAGCAATCTCGAGGGCCTTTTTCTTCTCGGCAGCTTGTACGGTAGTCATCAAATCCCGCGGATCGTCTCTTGATACGAGTAGAAGATCAGTCCAGATCTGCGAGTCGGGTCCGGCGCCCTCAACGAGCATCCTCTGGACGAGCAGCTCAAACGGCGTCCCGCAGAGGCTTGCATCTCCCGACGCGGCTTTCAGGAAGTACTGTAAGTACGGAAAAAACTAGAAAATCGAACTACGACCTACCATCCACCGCTCCTTCTCCTCGGCCGACCGGAAGACGATGTACAGCGGGTCGTCGTTGCACACCTGAAACAAAAAAGATTTATGCAACGATTATAATTTTCGAAAAATGATTTTAAAGCGTATTCCGACGTAGTTTTGTGCGTAGTGTCAGAATATTATACTGAGAAGCGCTCGCTCTGGGCAAAATAACATGAAACGTGGCCTGAAAGGATCAAAACTGCTCTCGCGCGATACAAGACTTTTAATGGATTTGCGAAAAGACAAAATGTTAGCGTATTCCGACGTAGTTTTATGCGTAGTGTCAGAATACCCTAATGGGAAAAGCCCCACCTCAATAGAGACCGTATATTCCTTCCTCTTTTGCGGTGGCCTCTCGGTTCTCGATTGTTCATCGGAACTGCCCGACGATTCCTCGCTGGGCCCTTTTTGCTTCTCGCAAACCCGGGCGCCCTGCAGCTCCACGAAGCTTGTCGGCACCTGAAAAATCTGTATAAAAATCCTAGACAAAAAACTCGAAGAATAAAAAAAACATGTTTTTTGGCCTCATTCCTAGGCCCAAGCTCCAACTTTAAATAGCTATATTTTATGTAGGCCGAAACTAGCTAAACGAAAATTATCGCATTAAAAAGAGCGCAGGAAAATACCCTAGCGGAAATTCAAAGAAAAAAAATAAAAAAAGCTAAAAACTTTCGTTAGCCTATCGATTTGGCTGTTTTCCATGGTCGACCTCTCCTAGCCTATCGACATGGCCGATTTCCATGGGCGACCTCTAAGCCTAAGCCTAAGCCTAAGCCTAAGCCTAAGCCTAAGCCTAAGCCTAAGCCTAAGCCTAAGCCTAAGCCTAAGCCTAAGCCTAAGCCTAAGCCTAAGCCTAAGCCTCAAGCCTAAGCCTAAGCCTAAGCCTAAGCTTCCAAGGCCTAAGCCTAAGCCTCCAAGCCTGCCTAAGCCCAAGCCTAAGCCTAAGCCTAAGCCTAAGCCTAAGCCTAAGCCTAAGCCTAAGCCTAAGCCTAAGCCTAAGCCTAAGCCTAAGCTCCGGGGGAATTGCTGGCCAACTTCAGGGAAAACCTCTAGGACCCCCTCCACACTAGTGGGCCAGGTGGGGCGCGAGTGGGGAGCATGGAAAGACCAGTTATTTCGACAATTTTTTGGCTGTATATTTTTCTTTTGAATTTTAAGTCTCCCATAACCATGAAAAATGACAAATCCGCTACCGTAATTTTAGGCTAAAATCGGAGTTTTTTTAATTTTTAAGGTAGAGGGTACCCTATTAAAAGAAGCGTTTCCAATCGCTTACGCAACGTAAATCTGGTAATTTTAGGCTAAAAATAGTTTAGGCGTTTTTTTTAATTTTAAAGTGATGTTTGCAGCAAATTTACTGATTTATTTGCTTGTAACTAGTTTAAAAAGCGGGCAATCTAGCAGAGGCCATTGGGGATGGGTTTAGTAGCCCGCTGGAAAGATAAGAAGGGGCTATGATGAAAACAAACGCACCGTGTCCTCCGGATTCTTGAAAAAGAGCAGCTTCTGGCCGGCGAGGGCGGCGTGAAGGCGCTTCGAGTGTCCGCATTTGACCCGTTGCACAACGCCGGAAATTGTGGCCTCGATTCGGGACGTGCGGGAGGCCAGCTCGCGAAGGGTTGTGCCTGAAAATGATGATAAAAGATTTTAATGCTTTTTAGATTCGTGGCAGGCTAGCAGAGGTTTTTTGGGAAGCGGGGAAAAACGAGGGCAAGCTAGCAGATATTCTTAAAGGGTAAACCAGCAGAGATCATTTTCCTCACCCCTGATCGCCTGGCCGATCAGCGAGACCCATTCCTCTGTGCCCTTCTCGCTGTCCGTCTGATACTGTAGCCGTTGTGTGGCCGTCATGAGTTGTAGGGCGTACGGGTTGCCGGGGATCCGGGTGACAGACTTCAGCTCGGAGACGGGGATCCGGAGAAGTGGCTCCTCATCTCGGGCCATGTTCTTCTGGAAAAAAAAAGTGCAAAATCATGAATTTAACTACCATCTAAAATAAAAATGACTTTTTATCTGACTTGACTACGGTAAAAAGCAAAAAATGGCATTTTCCAGGGCAATTGGCCACGGTAAAAGAATAGAAATGACATTTCGAAAAGCTAGGTCTAGTCAAAAATCTTAAAAAACCAGATTTTATTGCGAAGCTTCTACAATACAAATTTTTAAAATGACAATTACTAACCTGGGTACGGTAGAAGGTTAGCGTCCCGTTGCGCAGTTCCACAAAGCGACGCTTCAGCGATTTGAGGCGACTCTCCGAGAGCTGGCACCAGTAGCCGGCTTTTTCGATCTGGAAAAAAAACGTTTAGAGGTGCGTTGGAACGAAACAAATGCTCTCTGCTAGCCTGCCCTTAGTCCTAAAGAATCCCAGCTAGCTTGCCCTAAGCCGAAAGGATTCCTGCTGGAATGTCTAGTCTTTTTTTGCTCAAAAACACGAAAACTCAAAACTTCCGAAAATTCTAGCAACTAAATCAGGGCCTCTCGGGCTTCGGACCAAACGTTTTTAGGGACTATTTTTGATGCTCTTTCAGATGCAAATTGAATGACGTGTTGAAAATGCCCGATCGGCCTCAAATAGGCCCGGAAAGGTAAAAGGAGGCTAGGGGGTCAGAGTCAGCCTTCCAAAAATCGTAGCAAACACACCAAGGTCTCCCAGATCTCAAACCAAACCTTTTCAGCGCTATTTTTGGCGCTCTTTCGAATGGCAGAACTCGCTACCGCCCAATTTACCAAAAAAAAAATAAAATGAATAAAACAGCTCACCGCCTCGGCATTGGGTATCATCGATGTCCGAATGCCAGTGCCACTTCTCCTCTCATTCAATTGTCGACTCGGCGATTCATACGGATCAATGTCGACCTGAAAATTGATTTTAAAGGGACAGCGAAGGCAAATTTACCTCCGCCGTGGAATAATTCGAAAAGACACGAGGGATCGACATTCCCGAAGAGGCGCCATTCGATCGACGGCCCGAGGAGGAGGCCTGGAAAGATGACAATATTGAAAATACCGTAATCTAGGAAACTGAGCGGCATTAAAGGACCATTGAAGGCAACGCCGGTTCTTCGGCAATATCCGGGGGGGGGCACAAATTCTTTTGTCTTAATCTAGAAATGCCTAGTAACTTAATAGGAAGTGTTTTCATAATGTTTTCAGTATAATAAGGTATATTTTAACTAGTAAAACGTTATCAAAACTTTCAATTTTTCAAAATTTGAAACAAACATTTCAAAAAGTCGACATTCTCGTCAAAACGGCCATTTTTGGTCGAAAAACGATATTTTATTGTATTTATTAATAAAAATTTATAGTTTTTATTTAAGTAAAAAACAGTTTAGAAACATTAATGCTAATTAATGCTATTTACATTAAAAACATCGGTCCCTGAGAAAAATTTTTCTCCCCCCGATAATGTCAAAGAACCGCAACGTCAACACAAACCCAGATTTTTCGAATTTTAAAGGTCGCTTGAAGATCATCCACCCACCCGATTGTCGCTGATCCTTGACACTTGATAGGGCGAGACGGAAGAGGGGCCCTCGTAGTCTGTGGTCTCAGCTGTAGTCTGCAGCCCGGAGCCCTGGGCAAGGCATTGGTCGGCCGCGTCGAGGATCTTGGATTCCTGAAGCAAAAGATATAGATGTTTTAATGGGTCCTTCAAGGAAAAATTCATAGGATTAAATGGAAATCTACAGACTACAAACTCTAAAAAAATCCACGAAGCTGTTTTAAAAGGCCGTCGCAGGTAAAAATGACGATTCTGGTAGCTAAACTACAGAATACAAACTCGAAAAATGCAATTCAACGGTTTTAAAGGTCCGTTGAAGGCTAAATCCATCGAAGTAAGCAAAAAAAAGACTACAAACTCTAGAAAATCCATCTAGGGTTTTAAAGGGGCATTGAACCATATTTTTAAACTACAAACACAACAAAATAAAAAAACAACACATACCCAAGGCCTCAAACGATGCTGAGGAGGAGCCGGGGGATGATGAGAAGCCGAAGACGAGGACGGCTTGATGATGTCCGAGTAGATGTTCTTGTCGTCTCGGATGGCGCAGAAATCGGCGAGGTTCACGTATTCTGGGCCCTTGCGACGCGGGCTGAAAAAAATTAAATTAAATTCCTCAAAACATCTCTGCTAGCCTGCCCTCCAATTCCTCAAGAATCACTGCTAGTCTGCCCCTTCAATTCCTAAAAGAATCTCTGCTAGTCTGCCCCTCCAATTCCTCAAAGGATCTCTGCTAGCTTGCCGTTCCAATCCTCAAAGAATCTTTGCCACTCTGCCCCAATCAATACACTTAATTCCACTACGCACCTATCGACAGGGCTCTCCACAACTTCATCAAACGTCTCCTCCTCGCAGTCGAACTCGTACTCATCGGCGAACGAGTTCAGCGAGTCGCGCTCCAGCTGAAAAAGAGCAACCAATTTTCATAGCGTAATCTGAAAATCGATTAAGATATCAAAGCCTTACCAGGGTATTCCTGGGTTTTCTTGGAGTCGGGACCGGGCGTGGCTGTTCCCATATCGGCGAGCCGTCAGAGGAGGGAGCCGGTGAAGTTGCTCCTCCTACCGTACCCCCACAGTCGGCGCTGTTCTGCCGGGGTGCTTCTGAAAGGAATACGTATTTTAGAACCTGATTTTCTGATTTGAAACGAAATACTGAGCTGAAAAATCAAGTTAATTAGTAGTTAGAGCGTAAAAAGCAAAAAGCAAAAAGCAAAAAGGTTGTCGCGGCCGGGGTTCGAACCAGTGACCCAATTTTCAGTGTTTTGAAGGGACAGACAAGTCTTTTATGACTGAGCGAATTACCGAACTTCAAAAATTTTTAGAACTAGTTTAGACTGTAAAAAACAAAACACAAAAAACTTGCCGCGGCCGGGGTTCGAACCCGGGACCCATTTTTTGCGGTTTAAAGGGACTAGGAAGTGTTAAATTTCCTCTAAAAACATAATTTGGCGTTTAAACGCGATATATTAAATGTTTTCGATAGCTTATACGCAAAAAGCAAAAAGCCTGCCGCCGCAGGGAATTGAACCAGCGGCCCAAAAACATCAAAATGCCTCACTTTTCCGGAGCGTTTTCGGCGTCGATTCCCCGGCTATGGAGCGGCTCATCGCGTCGGCGGGCAGTTGGCATAGTCTAAAAAAATCGAATAAAATATTCAGGGCAGGCTAGCAGAGGCAATTTGCGGAAAATGAAAAATTACCTATCCGGGTGCTCATCCGAGGTGAGACCGCTGTCGTCCGATGTCCGGTTGTCGAGCTCGCGGCACACGGGCAGGGCGCCCTGAAAAAAAATGGAATTAAATGTCGTAATCGATTGCTGTGGCCCGAAAAACCTATCGTAATTATCTAGAATAACCTAGCGTAATCGAATGAACCGGCTTTTATTACCTACTTTAATTCTATTGCGTAACCGAATCGATAATTGTGCTAATATATAAAAAAAATAGTTTTGTGTGTTGTGTGTATATTTCGCGGAGTTCCTCCTACAGCCTCAGGGATTTCGGGGGGGAGAAAGAAATAGGTTTAGTGGTCGGCGATGCACACACATAAAAATTTTGAAAATGTGGGTATAAAAATTTTTGGGGAAAAGGGGGTTGGGGGAAAGGGGGGGGAATAACTAGCGTCATCGAATAACTCGATACTCATTTCGGTTCTGTTCTGTTAGCGGGGGGACGCGGGGTTTTTAGCGGGGGTACCAATTTTTTTAGTGTGATTCTCCACGGCCCTATGACAAAAAATAGCGCATTTTGATCGCATTTTACATAGTTTTTTAGATAACAAAACAAATAAAATAATAAAATTTAAATTTTTAGACTTTTTTGTCAAGAAAGTAAGAAAAATGACCAAAAAAGGCACAAGTCTTCGAATTTTTAAATTTTTATAACTTCCTAAGAATCAAAAACGACTAAAAACACTAGAAAGTACATCATATATCATCAACATGAAGGCATCGATGGAAAATCAAAAAGCGGTCCCCCCGCTAACAGTCCAGAACCCTAATTTCATGACCTAAACTTATCCCCAAAATTTCCAAGCGTAATCGATTAACCCAATTAAACACATACCGTAATCGAGTGGCTCATGAGTGCGTGGTGCTTGTTGTGCTGTTGTTTGGCGCGTCTCGTCTGCTCACTCATCGACTTGAGCATCTGCAGCTGGGTGGTGCATCGCAGGTTCTGCAGGCGGAGACGCTCGTTCTGCTCTTCGAGCTGAAAAACATGCGGGTTTAAAGGGCCATTGAAGGCACGATTTCCTGGAGCAAGCGGTTCAGAGAAACTGCGAAACTTAATAAAATTGGTTTTAAAGAAGCGTTCAAGACAGGATTTCATGACGTAATCGATTAGTAAAAAATTCTAGACGATTTTAAAGGGATGGTAGCAGGAAAAAAAGGTCATTAAGGTCAATTCGTAAGCAATTTAAATAATTTTAAAGGACCCTTTAAGTGAGCATTTCACGTGGTAATCGATTAGAATACAATGTTTGATAATTTTAAAGGGCTCGGAACATAAAGAAAGTATCAAAATAGGCTGTACCGATGATTAAAATAGCGTAACCTATTAAACACATCTTAAAGGAGCGTGGAAGCCAGAATAACATGTCGTAATCAGAAAAATCGTTGCAGGCAAGTCCGAATTTCACGGCGTAATCGAATATACGCGCTTCAAATAGTTTTAAAGGGCCGTTCGAGGCAAAATCTACTAGAGAGTACAGGTCGATACTCCTACCCACCCACGGCCTTCGGCCTGTTCTCCCCTGGGCCCCTGGTCTTGGCCCCTAGTCTTGGCCCTCTAGATGGGAAAGCATTCGTCTTGTTGTGTGCGTGCCCTCGGGGCATTTTCCAGGGGGCCCAGCAGGACCCAAGCTGGGCCCTCCGCTAGGGCCCGCAATCCCCGAATTAACCCCCGGAATCCCTGAATCCAGAAGAAGAAATTGGACCCCTCTCGAAAACAGATTTAATTTCCCGGAAAAAAACCCAAAAAAATAAAGGAATTTGGGGCGTTTTCACACGCGCGTTCGCTGGAATGGCGCGGAATTCAAGTAAATTGAGGAAAAAGCAGAGAAAAAGCAACAAAAAATGTATGTTGCCGGGGGTCGAACCCGGACCCTGAGATTGGTGAAAATACTTTAAACGGTTAAAAAGGACAAGGAAAAACGGCAATAATCATCAAAATTCGGAATCATATAGAAAAGTATATAAAAAAGCAAAAAGCAAAAATTTGCCGCAGGCGGGGGTCGAAAGCACGACGCAAAATTTTATAGTTTTGAGCATAGAAAAACAGAATTTAAACGCGCGGTTGGCTTAAATAGCTAAAATTCAAGTAAAAAAGGCGAAAAAGCGCAATTCAAAAAGGCAAAAAAATCGCTGCGGCTGGAGCCGAATCCCCGACCCGAAATTGTGTAGTTTATCGTCAAGAAAACGTGATTTTTAAGACCAAAAATGCCTTTCCGATCCTGCCTAATTCCGGATGGATTACTGCCCGGTCGGGCTATCCTAGCTATTCCGTCGGCTTTTTGTGCCCTCGGGGCATTCGTCGGGGGCCCGCCGCGCCCAGCGGAGCGCTTTTTGCCGCGTGGCCCGTTTCGCGCACAGCTGTGTATGGCTGGAGCTGAAGAAGCCCGGAGGGTATTGCCCCGTACCAGCTTAATCACGTTGCACAACGGTTTTTTGGGCAATTTCCCGGGGGTTAGACAGCTTTAAAGGGGCTGGGACAGCTGGGGGAGGGTTAGAAAAATGGAAAAAATGAAATTTTTTTAAAAACTGGGTCAGAAAAACGTAGATATCCCCAACAAAAAAACCAAGTTGATGGAAATTCTTAGAATAGCAAAAAAAATTCCGGTTTAAAGGCCCCCTGAAGCCAAAAATGCACAGAAAAATCGAGCAAGAATAATCCGCCAATTTTGAGGGTTTTTAAAGACTCTCATTGTCAGAAAATTTCAAAAACCCGAAGCTAGTCTACAGTAGCCTAGATACAGTTAATTTACGTAAATCGGAAAACTATCTCTTTAAAGGACCATTGGAGGCAAAAAAAGCATATATCCCTCTGCGAAATTCCGGAAAGCACCTAATTACAATCTTGAAAACGCCGTAACTAGACCAAAATTCTATTTTAAAGGCCCATTGAAGTAAAAAAATCGTACAGATATCGATTCAGGGAAGCGCCAAATTACGGAATTCCAAAATTTGGTAATTCAAGAAATGGGGGCAGGGAGGGGGATCTTCCAATTCTGGGGAGAGGGCCCAATTATCTGCTTGGGGGTCCCTATAGGCCAGAAATGGACCTCTAGAAGAAGAAGGAGGGGGTGTGGATATCGCTGTCCATAGGAGACCGATAAAGGAAACGGAATACCCTCACCAAAGGAGGGGAGGGGCAGCAGAGAGAGACCATTTGGGGAAAAGACGGGGAAGATGGAGGGATGTTTGCTCTCGGATTCTGACCCTAGGCTATTTCTCTCGCTCTCTCTCTCTCTCTCTCTCTCCCTCTCCCTCTCCCCTCCTCGTTCTCTATTTCTATGTCGAAAATTCTAATTTTAAAGGTATGGGATAGCCAGATTTGGGCAGGCTAGCAGTGGTCATTTGCGGAACTTAGGCTTAGGCTTAGGATTGCTTAGGGTTAAGCGTAAGTAGTAGCGGTTCCGGAAGTGTATAAGATAATATTTGACGGCCCGGGGGCCATTATCTTGGGAATTGAGGGGCCAAAGTGACATATTGGCATCGGCGAGAGAGAGCGAGGGAGAGAGAGAGAGAGAGAGAGAGAGAGAGAGACCGGCGGGGCCCAATTTGCATGTTGGGCCCTACGGGGGGCCTGGGGTTGATATTGATATGCCCCTCCGGCTAGGAGCCACACTGCCAATTACGTCAGCATACGGCTAGGGTCCTAGGTTGGGTCCTAAGGGCCTTATTGCCGCACTAAAGGGATGCTGAAGGCTAGGATTCCATCGCGTAATCGGTTTTGGAAGATTTTCAGCTCCCCAAAAAACTATAAAAAATGCCAAAAATGGCGACTCAGATAGGCGGAATTTACTGTAAAAACCACGACGGAAGAGAGAGAGAGAGAGAGAGAGAGAGAGAGGAAGAGAGAGACAGAGACAGAGAAAGAGACAAAGCTATGTACAGCCAGACAAACACCATTAAAATGCCTAAAAAATGGCCATAGGGGTGCCAGGCCTTCCTTCAATCGAATTAGGGTGTGAATTCCAGCGCTTGTCTCTCTCTCTCTCTCTCTCTCTCTCTCTCTCTCTCTCTCTCTCTCTCTCCCTTAAAAGACAAAGGGATGTCGTGTCGTGAACACCTGTGTGAGGGCTATGGGAGATCGCCATTTCGGGGGCACCAGCCCACAAATCCTCAAGGACATCGTTTTCCGGCCGGGGTTTGACCTCTAGTAAAATAGCTATTAGGGGCAGGCTAGCAGGGATTCTTTGAGGAAATGGATGGGCAACTAGCAGCAACTATTAGAGAAAATCAGCAAATTCCATCCCTGCCGGTCAGCAAAACAGAGCGAAACAAACAGAGAAGTGACCCCCAGAAACCACACCCCGCCAAAAACACTGCATTTTTAAAGGGTCAGGGAAGTCAACAGCGAAGAATTTCATGTCGTAATCGATTATTTTAGTCAAAAAGTTGGTTTTTGTGGGTTCTATAGGTCTAGTGAGGCAAAAAAATTACGAAACCTCGGAAAACCGAAAATTCTGGATTTTAAAGGCTCATTGAAGTGAGGTTGCAGAGTATCCTGTCGTAAATGGTTCCTAAACCTGAAAAACTATCAATTTTTTGCCATCTTAAAAGCAACTCGAATCATATAGCCGAGCGAATCACGCCTTAATTTTTAATGAAGACGAAAAAACGAAAGTAGCGGATTTTAAAGGACCAGTAAAGCCCGAAAATCATGTCGTAATCGATTGGAGGAGTCAAAAAAGGTGCGCCCCGCTAACCAAAAAAAAGCGCGACGCATTATCGGCGCAGTGAAAGGTGTGAATTATGCGTGATGTGGTGGTGGCGGGGGATGGGGGGATGCGCTGAATCGTGAAAATGCGATCTGGCATCCGGCCAGGGCGGACAGCCGGTTCTATTGGGTAGAAAAAGTGCCTGATAACTTCCAAAATCGAAAACCCGGGTGGGCTAGCAAAGACCATTTAGGAGGCGAACCGGGCAGCAGTGATCTTTTAGAAATCGGGGTCAGGAAAGCGAAATTCCGATTTCGAGCGGCAGGCTAGCAGAGTTCCTTTAGGAAAATACGGAATTTGAGGGGTAAGCTAGCAGAGATCTTTTACGAATTTTGGAATCGGGGAAGGGTAAGCTAGCCAATGCCCCTTAGGAAAATCGGGAAGTGCGGAGCAGGCTAGAAGGCATTCTTGAGGAAAGCGAATTGAGCAAGCTAGCAGAGATTCTTTCGGAAATCGGGGAAGTCGGCTAAACGCGATAATTCAGGGCAGATGCAGGCTAGCAAAGTTCTTTGAGGAACCAAACCTCAACTGAATCTGGCCCTACTCAGGAAACGTACGTGTCAAAAAGTGCCAGTGCCCCCCGGGGCGTGAACGGCCGGGAGGTCGAGTGGAATGGAGAGGGAGGGGGGAAGTAGTGTGTAAGATCAATCCGCCCAAAAAAAAGTGAGGAGAAATGGGTTCGGCACCTCCAAGAGGGGCCAGTGCCGGGCTGTAGTAGGGCAAAAAACAGAGCATCAGGGCAGGCTAGCAGGGTTCTTTGAGGAAAACCAGGCCGATCGAGGTTTTTAAAGGGACTGGCAACCGAAAAATGGCTTTGGGCAAACAGACGGCTTTCGACAATTTTATCGGACTTCGAAAAAATGGCAAGCTAGCAAAGACCATTGGGGAAGGCAGCAGAGATTCTTAGGGAAGCTGCTCATCAAGCTCTAAGCTAGAAGCGATTTTTAGAAATTCTAGTTGAGGCCTAGCGGAGATTTTTTAGGAAAATTTGAAAAAATGACGTTGGTAAACCAGCAGAGATTATTGAGGAAAATGACAAAAAATCAAATGGCAAGCTGATAGAATTCTTGAAAAATTCTGGCAGGCTAGCCGAGTTACTTCGGGCAAGCTAGCAAAGATCCTCGCGGAATTCGAAAGTAAGGAGAGGCAAGCTAGCGGCGTTTTTTGAGGAAAATTCAAAAATTAGGCGCGGGGCAAGCTAGCAGAGGTACTTGGGGAAGCTAACAAAGATTTTTTAGAAATTTTTTTGAAAATGAGGTGAGAAAAGCTAGCAGATATCCGTAGAAAATTCTAGGGCAGGCTAGCAGAGATTCTTCGAGAAAATTAAAAAATGTAGCGGGCAAGATAGCAGAGATTTTTAAGGAATTTAGGATATGCGCCTTTCGTTGGCAGTCAGCTGTAGCCCCATCCTGGCGCTTCAAAAAACTGCTTTTGGTGTCTTTTCAGGGTAGGGAAAAGCCTCCTCTACCCCGGGTCTCTAGCAGTGTCCAGTGGCCACGGCTTCTCCCTCTCCTTCCCCCGTCCCCGAGGACCCCTAAAAATCCGCCCATGCATCTCAAAGCAGGAGGGAGAGGCTCAACTCGATGGCTTTTCACTCGAAGCCTAAGACCCGGAAAAATAGCCACTATTTAGAGGCTGGCTAGCAGGGATCATTGGTGAATTAAGGAGGGGCTAAGGGGCAAGGTAGCAGGAATTCTTTCAGGAATTGGAGGGGCAGGCTAGCAGAGATTCTTTGAGGAATTGAAGTGCGAGATAGCAGAGACCATTTAGGAAAGTGCGTAGTAGCCAGGTATCACACTACTTTTCGGGGTCAGAGTCCGATATATTTGCCCCGGTTTCCCCCGGTCGCACAGTTGCTATAATCCGCTTCGGCGCTGTATGCAAATTAGGGCAGAGAGAGAGAGAGAGATAGTGAGATAGTGAGATAGATAGAGGGAGAGAGAGCGAGAGGGAGCAAGTTCAAGAGCGTGAGCGAGTAATAGACAATTTCATAGTAATTTTAAAGGGCCATTGAAGGCAAGAATTGGAGCCACAAAAATTTTGAGGGTCAGCTAGCAGGGACCGTTGACGAATTCGAGATTTAAAGGACCAACGAAGGTTAGAAAAAAAACCCAAAAATTCGATAAAGTCGCACCTCCTTGAGCCTGTGGACGACCCATTGCTTGATCTGCGCCGCCTTGACCATCACCTTCTCATCTTCCGGCGATCTGAAAATCAAAACATACAAAAATATAGGAATTTTAAATTTTAAATTTATAATTTCATTTCATTAATTTAATTTTAATTACTTTAATTTAATTTATAGGCTGAATTTTAATTTTCAAGAAAACCTAATGAAGCTCGTACCTAACTGACGGTGTGGATGCATTGGAGTCTTTGGGGGACCCGCGGGCGTACGGCAAGCCACGATCTGCCACTTTGACGCCTGCAAAAAGTGAGTTTCGTACGAAATTTGCATAGAACAAAAATAGCAATGGAAAACAGGAAAATTGCAAAAAGGAATAGAGACCGAGCAAGAGATGGAGGAAGAGAAAACGGAGTGTTTCAGTGCACACTCCGAAAAATTGAGGTTTTCAAATCGATTACGCAATGCTTCGGGGCCCAATCGTCTTTCGCTGCGGGATATTATTGCATCGAAAAGAGCGTGAAAAATAGTGCGGAAATTCATTTCGTCCAAAGCACTGGCGGAATTGCTCTGATTTTTTGAGGTGCTGCCTTTTGGCATTTTTGAGCAGCAAAAATCCGAGTCTTCCCGGCCCTATTTGAGGCCAATCGGGCATTTTCAACACGTCATTCGATTTGCATCTGAAAGAGCATCAAAAGTAGTCCCTAAAAACGTTTGGTCCGAACCCTTAGAGGCTCTGCAGCGATTGCTAGGTTTTTTTTTAAGATGTGAGTTTTGGGGGTTTTGAGCCGCAATTTTTTCAAACATTGAATCTCTACGCGACAGCCAGCCCTCGTCAGAATTTCGCCCTGGACTCATTCGAACCGGCTTGAAACGCTGGTTCCGGCGTGCTTAGTGGCTTAGCCGCAAACTCGATATCCGTCTCAGAACAGGGCCTCAAACATCGAAAAATACACAATTCCGCCAAAATGAGCGCCCTGGGCCCCGATATATAACGATCAAATGACCGTGCGAAATCGTTTTGACATTTGCATCTGAAAGAGCATAAAAAATAGTGCCGGAAACAGTTTCGTACAAGAATTCGGAAGCTGTGATGTGGTTGCTAAGATTTTTGAAAAGTTGACTCTGACCCCTAGCGGCATTGTCCCTTTCCAGGCCTATTCGAGGCCGACCGGGCATTTTCAACACGTCATTCGATTTGCATGTGAAAGAGCATCAAAAATAGTCCCTAAAAACGTTTGGTAGAAACCACCAGAGGCCCTGGTGTGATTGCCATGATTTTTTGAAGTTGTGAATTTGGGTGTTTTTGAGCAGCAATACGTATTCCTCGGCCTAAGCTCGGACTTTGAATAGGTATACGCTGTGTAGGCTAAATATATCACAACGAAAAGTATCGCAATAAAAAGAGCGCAGAAAAATACCCTAGAGGAAATTCAAAGCAAAAAAAAATAAAAAAAGCTAAAATATTCGTTTGCCTATCGATATGGCTGATTTCCATGGTCGACCTCTATTAGCCCAAGCCTAAGCCTAAGCCTAAGCCTAAGCCTAAGCCCTAAGCCCTAAGCCTAAGCCTAAGCCTAAGCCTAAGCCTAAGCCTAAGCCTAAGCCTAAGCCTAAGCCTAAGCCTAAGCCTAAGCCTAAGCCTAAGCCTAAGCCTAAGCCTAAGCCTAAGCCTAAGCCTAAGCCTAAGCCTAAGCCTAAGCCTAAGCCTAAGCCTAAGCCTAAGCCTAAGCCTAAGCCTAAGCCTAAGCCTAAGCCTAAGCCTAAGCCTAAGCCTAAGCCTAAGCCTAAGCCTAAGCCTAAGCCTAAGCTCCGGGGCAATCGTTGGCCAAATCAAGGGAAAACCTTTGGGACCCCCTCCGCACTAGTGGGCCAGGCGGGTGGCGAGTGGGGGGCGAGTGGGGAGCAGGGAAAGGTCCGATACTTAAATAATTTGTTTGGCTCAATATTTTTCTTTTGAAATTAAATCTCACGTAAAATATAAAAATGACAAATAGGCTACCGTAATTTTAGGGTAAAAATTGTTCTTTGATTTTTTAAGATATCAAAAAAGCATTTCGGAACCGTTTACGCAATGTAAATCGCGCTTAGATGGCCCTCTAAACGGTGGCGGTCGCCTGGGCCAGGTCTCAAATGGTTTTACGTGGGTAGAGGAGAAGCCTCCAGGGGTGGGTTGGGGGTGAGGTTGATGGGATTAGGATGGCCCAGAGAGGAGCACGAGGAGGAGACCCCCAACAAATACGGACATTTTGGATTGGATGGGGGGAGGAGGAGAATGGGGTGGAGGGCGCGGAAATGGGGGCGGAGGAGAAGCACCAACAAGGGTCTCTAGCTGGGCTCGAGATATCTGAAATAGATAACAGGAAATGAAGGAAAGCAGAGTGATGCGGGGGGTTAGCAGAGATTCTTTGAGGAATGGAAGGTAGGCTAGCAGAGATTGTTTGAAAATGGAAAACGCTAGCTGAGAGCATCTAGGATTCGGGGAGGCTAGCCGAGGAAATTTAGGAATTGAGCAAGCTAGCAGAGATCATTCCAAATCGCGTAAGCTAGCAATGATTTTTGTGGAATCAGGCGGGCGGTCTAGCTGGGATTCTTTAGGAACCGAGCTTAGGCTTAGGCTTAAGCTAGCAGAAAGACTTGAGGACTCGAGGCAAGCTAGCAGAGAGCCTTGACAAACCGGTGCAAGCTAGCAGAGACAATTTGAAATGGAAAACTCGTTTAACGTGATGGGGACAGCTAGGAAAAAGGCAGCAAGGAACCAGGTCGGCTAGCTGAGATGCTTTGAGGGATCGTGGCAGTCTAGCAGAAACAATTTGCTAGTTGGTTAGCTAATAAAGAGATTGAGACAGATCAAGATGAGCTACAGTAGTTGCTTGGCAGGCTAGCAGAGACAATTTGCGATAACTTAAACTATTTTAAAGGGATAGTGACACCAGAAAAATCCACGAAAAGGCGTAGGCGCGTTTTCTGAACCCACGATCCAAGAGAACACGCGTGCGACCCGTGCAAACTTGTTGGCCGGGGGAATTAGAAGGGCGCTAGAGGAAAAAAAAGAGAGGAGAAGCTTAATGTTAGGGGAAGCGGGCGGGAAAAACAGTTTGCCAATGGGATTGGGGACACCCGAAGGAACGAGGCGAGAGAGAGAGCGAGGGACAGAGCGAGAGACAGAGAGAAAGACCTAAACTGCCTTCGTCTGCTAAACTTCTTCACCCCTCTAAATAATTCCCGCAAATGTTCTCAGCTATTTACCAGCCGCTGCTACCTACTGGTTACAGAGCATAGAAAATATGCCGACAAGTTCAAGCCGTTCGCGTGTTTGGGAACTTTCTGAATTTGGAAAATGTCGATCTCAGATTACCCTTGTCTAAAAAACAGTTTAGCACCTCAAATCAGCACTGTTAGCTTGCCTTTAGCTTAAATTATTCGAAAAGTGGGCTACAAGCTTCAATTTTTCTGTGCGAAAAATAAATCATCAAAAAATAACTCAAAAAGCGGATTTAGTCGCGTTTTGAATCGATTACAACATGAAGCCGCTGAAATCAATCGTAAATTTACAAAAATTAGTAAAAACTGGATTCTTGCAATTTCTGAACCGATTACGGCATGGAAATTGCCTTAAACTCTTTTGAAATTTGATTACGACATGAAACTCTAGCCTAGATCGGTTACGACACGTAAATTCAGCACGTAAAAAATGTAAGACGCCGAAGTTTTGAAATTTCTCCCCGAGTTCGAATCGAAAAATCATGAACCGTTTACGCCATGTAAAGCGCTTAAACTATTTTAAAATCGGTTACGACATGTAAATTCTAGCAAAAAATCGATTAAGACACGTAAATAAAGCCTCCAAGACGATGCGAAAGGCCAATTCCCCGAATATTCTAATCGAGAACTGCGCGCCGTTCCGCGGCGTTCCATCATGACGTGTCTCTATGACACCGAAAAGCAGAGAAAGAAGGAAGGGGACGGCTGAGGGGAGCCGATGAAAAATTGGCCCCGCGAGATTTCGTAGCCCCCGCGATGGCATTTCGGAATCTGATATCCGGCATAAATTATTCGGATTTAGAGCTAGCAGAGAGCCTTGAGGAATTGGCGTGAAAAGGGCAAGCTAGCAGAGATTTTGGAAGGACTTGGAACTCGAAAAAGACAGGCTTGCAGAGATTCTTGAGGAATTTGAACTCGAAAGGCTGGTTAGCAGGGGTTTTTGAGGAATTTCGCATCCGGAACAGGAGTCTAGCAGAGATTCTTTGGGAATTTTGAAAGTGGAGAAGGCAGGCCAGCAGAGGTTTTTGTGGAATTTCTAACTCGGAGACCGCAGGCTAGCAGTTACTTGAGGAATTTTGAACTCGAAAACGGCAAGCTAGCGGGGATCGTTGAGGAAACGCCACGAAACAACGGCAAACTAGCAGAGGTTCGTAGAAAATCGTAAAAAAACGCTCGAAAGAAGGCAGTCTAGCAGATGCTATTGAGGAAATTCGTTCAACACAAAATCAAGGCATGCGAGCAGAAACCGTCGGAGAATTTAAAAATCAAGACAAGCTAGGTAAAGGCAATCTAGCAAAGATTCGTATAGCTAACAAAGATTCGCTAATTGATAAAGGCAAGCCAGCAGAGATTCTTGAGGAAACTCGTACTCAAAATCAAGGCAGGCTAGCAGAGACCGTTAGAGAATTTTCAGGAATTTCGACATCATTATAGGGAATGCTAGCATCGATTCTTAGAGAAATTCGGGACGAAATCGATCAGGCAAGCTAGCAAAGATTTTTAGATATTTTAACAATTCTCAAAAAGGCAGGCTAGCAGAGATTCTTTGCGACCCGAGACCCGGAAATATGCAAATTCCATCAAATGGCCGGGGTGTAGGGTGGCCGTGGTGGAATCGATGCCCTCTGGGGCCACATTGGTATCCCTTCCCATTCCCTGGGTGGGCCCTTGGTGTGGGCCCCAAGCCAACCCAGAGGGCCCAGTCAGAGGGCCCGCCGGTAGTGGTGTCCATGGGGTCCTCATTTGGGCCCTCTCTTGGGCCCTCTTTGGTCCCTAAGGGTACCCTCGGCTATTCCATTCCGCAAAGCGCCTCTGCCCGCCTGCCCCCTCCACAAACAATTAACTCTAGCCCATGAGGCCGAGGGTCTCGAGCACCGGGCCCCTATTGCGAAATGACACAACACTGCAGGGGTATCTCTCTCTCTCTCTCTCTCTCTCTCTCTCTCTCGCCTCTAGGGCCCATTTCGGGCCTCAACGACATTGGAATTGCAAAAAGCAAAAAGTTGAGAAGGGGAGAGGGATTGAAACTGGATCGCGATTTTAATGGCGTAAACGGTTATAAGTCTCTCGGTTTTGCATACGAGCCTCTAAATTGACTAAAAAGTACGCCAGTTTCCAGTTAAAATCCAAGAAGCCAAAAAGCAAAAAAAATTGCCTCGGCCGGGATCGAACCCGGATCGTCAGATCGTTGCCCAAACGTGCTAGCCGCTGAGCTAAGACTTTCTAAAGCTATTAAATGGCAATCAGGGATACGATAAACAAAAAAATGCCAATTTTGAGACCAGTCCCTGCATTGAAAATGCCCTGACGCCACATTGCGCCCCCCAAAAAAAGACCAATTCAATTCTAATTCGCGGGCCACGCGCTACCAATTAAAGGGGCACGCAATTGGGGGTAGAAGGCCAAAAAACCGCGAGCTAAACCTAGGTCCCGTAGTCCATTACGTTAAGAAAATTGCCCTTAAAACGTAAGATTCGTACGAAACGTACTATCAGCACTCCGAGCATTTGATAAAGTAAAAAAAACGAGAAATGAAGAGTTTCCTGGCCATAACAGGAGCTATCCAAACGATTACACAATGTAATTCCAACCGATAACGCCATCAAAATCGTCTCTGAATCGTAAGGGATCGTGCGAAACGTACTACGAACATCTCAGCAATCCAAAAAAAAAAACGCAAAAAAGGCGGCTGAACGGTGGCTCGAACCCATTATGCCAGGTGTTCATCCCATTACGCTATGATAATCATGCTTACATCGTAATAACCGTACAAATCGTACTATGAACACCTCTGGAGTCTGTGAGGGGACAAATACTGCGGCCTAAAAAAAGACAAAGAGCAAAAAATTCGGCCGAACGGAGCTCTAACTCTGCACCTAGTAATTTCATCCGAATACGCCATCAAAATCGTCATTAAATCGTAAGTTTCGTACAAATCGTACTATGAACACCTCTGGAATGCGCGAGGGCACAAATGCCTCTCGGCTTGCCCTTTCCCCCGGTAATGCCCATTGATGGGGTCATATTTTAGGGCTTCTGCTTGAAGGGGGAGAAGCCGAGGAGGAGAAGCCTGGGGGATTAGGACACCCGAATGCCAATGCCCTCCATTGCTAGTAGTGGAATGTCCTCAAGAATTTGCATACGCCACTAAACGATTACGCCAGCTATATACGCGATCGATTTCGCAATGGAAAGCTATTGGGTGACCACAACCGCCCATGCGTTCGGTCCAGATGGTTCAAGGGAAAGGGCGTACTGTACGTGTTTTTCGCGCGTTGCGTGCGGATGCGCGGAATAGCAACCAGTTCTTAGCTGCGCAGGCCTGCTTTCGCAATTGCGCGACGCGTCTATCGCGCACGCGTTGCGGTCTTCCCTTCTTTCCAAAGCTACCGGACGTTTTATTAGGGGCCGGGCCGCTGTGTGACGCCATATAAATCGAAAAAATGACAATGAGGGCAACTAGCAGAGATCGTTTGAGGCAAAATAGCCCAGGCGAGCGAGCAGAGACGCTTGAGGAAATTAGGAAGCAAATAAGGCTCCTAAAGGACAATTGAAGTCAGAGACTCAGGCCAGTGGGATTAATCCATCACGCAATGTAAATTGTAAAAAACCTTGGGGCAGCCTAGCAGTGGAATTTTGCGGAAAAATCGAGCGGGCATGCTAGCAAAGAAAATTTGTCGCTTTTCTACTTTAAAGGACCATTGAAGGCACCTTTGTCGAGAAAGGATTAATCGATTACGCTATCAAATCAGGGCAAGTTAGCAGATATCATTTGCGGAAAAAACCTCCACACGAGTTAGGCGAGCTAGCAGAGACCATTCTGGAAGCCTAGCCTCGAGCCAGCTAGCAAAGACCATTTAAGAAAATTTGAAAAGGCCATTGAATTCAAGATCTGCCCAAAAATAGCCAGAGGGCCCATTCTGGCCCTCTGCCACCTCCCGCAAAAGGCGTACCAGCCGGCCATCTGTCGCCCCGTTTTCCTTCCGGTCAACCCCCCGGTGCCCAAATCTCGGGGGTGCCATCCCCGGCCACGTATGCAAATTAGGCAGGGGCGAGAGAGAGAGAGAGAGAGAAGAGAGAGAGAGAGACAGAGACAGGTTGCACAACCTTCTCGCGCCCTCCTAGCAATTTTGAGCCAATTTTGGTGACAGCTGGGTGGTGGGGATGAGATATGAGCTTGTCGGGCGCATAAACAATCAAGATTCCGCAAAGAATCTCTGCTAGCTGGCCTTGGGGCCGAAAATGGTCTTTGCTAGCCATCTTAAAACGTCGGTCCGTTTAAACGGATGGTCGTAACTAGAAAACGAGATGGATAGGGCGAGAGGGGAGAGAGAGAGAGAGAGAGAGAGAGATCGACCGGAAATGAGCCAGAACATGAAAAACTGGGGCTTACAAAGTGCTTTTCGAATCCGGAATGCTTGCAACTGCTCGGGAATTTCCTGAAATTGGTCTGAAACAGATCGGAGGACGTTAAGAAGCATAGGCAAGCGTTTCCCGGATCAAAAATTTCATCAGCGCTTCGCATTCAGTACGGAAATCGATCGGAACTGGGCCGGAAAAGGTTTAACGGTCCTTTAGAAGCGCTTTCCGGTTCAAGAATTCCATCAGCTGTCCCGATTCCGGCCAGAAATCGACCGGAAATCGACCGGAACCCATCAGCTGCTTCGCCGAATGGGTTTGTAGCTGAAGGGTACGGCCCTTCCTCCCACTAGGCGTCCCTGGGGTTCGGGGCCCTAACACAATTTGCGTATGGGTGGGGGGCGGGGGAGGGAAATTTGGCTCCACTTCAAGAACCACTAACCCGGAAATTTGAGAAGAAGGGTAAAGAGGAACGCCCGTGCCTTAAATTCCTGAAAGAATCTCTGCTAGCCTGCCCCTCCAATTCCTCAAAGAATCTCTGCTAGCCTGCCCCTAGCCTCAGATTCCTCAAAGAATCACTGCTAGCCTGCCCTCCATTTCCTCAAAGAACCTCTGCTAGCCTGCCCTCCATTTCCCAAAGAATCTCTGCTAGCCCGCCGCTCCTCTCCAATTTCTCAAAGTCTCTCTGCTAGTTCCCAGCCACGGTTCTTTGGTCCCGGAACGAACGGTCTGAGGAAAAGTGCACGTTTTTGTATACAAAAACGAGACATTTGGGGGGAAATCTGATCTGTCTATGGTTCAAAATGGTCCTATAAATCCGAGAGAGCGGCTATAAACTGACACAGCAAATTTTCGCCTCCAAACATGCTAAAAATTCTAATTTTCGGCATAATATGGCTGGTCGCTAATGTCGATGCAGTCGAAATCGCATCGATTTTTGTTCCCCCGTCGGCTACGAGTTGTAAAATAGGTAAGGTTCTATTAAGGATAGTCTAAGAAAAACTTTAAAAAATCGTTCAAAAATTCGAACAAACTAGGGCCTCCCAGGTCTCGAATCAAGGGAATTTTAGCACTATTTTTGATGCTCTTTCGAATGGCACAATTCGCTACGGGCGTTTCTGAAAAATGTTGGCGAATTTTGAAAAAATGGTTTTCGCCCTTGCAAAAAACGTCAAAAGTAACACTTTAAAAAATCCTAGCCATTACGCCAGGGCCTCTCGGGTTCCAGTCGAAACTGTTTTTGGCACTATTTTTGATGCTCTTTCAGATGGATGCAAATTGAATGAGGTGTTGAAAATGCCCGATCGTTCTTGAATAGGCCTGGAAAGGTACATGGCCGCTAGGGGGTCAGAGTGAACCTTGAAAAAAATCACAGCAACCACATCAGGACCACCCAGGTCTCGAAATAAACGAATTTCGCCACTAATTTTGATGCTCTTTCGAATGGCGCAATTCGCTAAGGCCATATCTTTCGAAAAATTGCGGCGAATTTTCGAAAAAAAGCCCTGTTGCTAATGATCACCAAAAGTCACAACTTCAAAAAATCATAGCAACTACACCAGGGCCGCTAGGGGTTGGGACCGAACGTTTTTAGGGACTATTTTTGATGCTCTTTCAGATGCAAATCAAATGACATGTTGAAAATGCTCTATCGGCCTCATAGAAGCCCGAGAAGTTATAGGCCTACACCCACTTTTCAGGCAACGAATGGGTGATCGACTTTATCAAGTTCAAATGTATGCAGATCAAAAAGAATGGGGAGATCAGAAAGGGCATAAAGGCTATAGGTGCGTTTCGGAAACTTTAAAGGGATGGTGACACCCTAATTCAGGCTGTGTTCCGGAGAATACGGTGGCCGGGAAGGCGGTGGCTGATGGGGGCACGTGGCAGGATTCCCACTTTACGTATCTGTGCAATCGAACGAGGGAGGCCGGAGGATCGGTGCTGAGCTTCAAGCCGATAAGTGGGCTTTGGAGGCTTGAAAAACCTGGGTTAGAAATTTTGGCTCGCTTCGTTTCTAGCTAATAACGTCAAAAATTTGTAGAAAAGTGACATTTCAAAGGGCTTAGACCCAATTTTCGCATCCGATCGCGTTAGGAAATATCTGGATGCGATTACGCTATGAAATTCAGCTTATCAACTCGACTTAAGTTACTTAATACTTAGCTAACTTCCGTTCCAATAGCTCCGCTTAAAAACTACCCAAAAAATTAATTTTGTGTTGAGTTTGGCATTCGATTACGAAATGAAATTCCTAAAATCTGATTACGCCACTTAAATTGTTTAGACTGTCTCGACGCTACCGGAAAAGTGTTAAAACCCGGCGAAGAGCGAGAGATGGCCGACAAGACGACCTACAAGTAGGGCAGGCTAGCAGAGATTTTTGAGGAATTGGATGGCAGAGGAGGGGCAATCTAGCAGAGAAAATTTACTGAAAATTTACCCAATTCAGATGTTTTTACGACAAGGAGATGGACGTGCATTTAAGCGTGGATGGGAGTGAGTCGGACTCATTTTTGCCTTCAAGGGCCCTTTAAAACCGCAAATGCCTGCTGTCACGCTCCCTTTAATCCATTCTAGGCTCGCCAGGATGTCAGCAAGGAATTCAAGTGTACAAAGAGAGATCGACGTGGATGATCTACAGACCGACTGAGGTAAAAAAAATCGACCTGTCACTCCCCCTAAAACCCCCGATTTAGGCCGAGGTAACAAAAGGGAAAACGGTGCAGCTCGGGATTGGGGCGGCTACGGTATGCGAGCGAGGCGAAAATGGGGAGCTGCATGCCAGGGAATACGGTAATTTCCACAAATGGTCATTGCTAGATGGCCCCGTTTAGGATGCATTACGGCGGATAATCAACGAGTGGACCCGGATGGTTATGGGCTGGTGGAGGGTCATGTTGTCAAGTGGGTTTGGCTTGGCTTATTGTTAGGCTCGGCTGGGATTTGGCTTAGGCTTGGCTTGGGAATGGCTTAGGCTTGGCTTAAGCTCGGCTTAGGCTTGGCTTACGCTTAGGCTTACAATTTCAGGTGCGTCTGGGGAGCCGAGCATCGCCTGCACTTTGAGCTGGCCAACGATGAGCGTGAGTTTTACGAAGTTTTCGTGGTTGTAAAGGGAGCATGACAACTAGAGATTCACGTGTAAATCTACCATTTTCAGTGATCGCCTGTCTAATCGATGGAAAACGTATCGTAACCGGCACTGAGTGGCAGAGTGAGGACAAGAAGGAGCAGCTGATGTGCAAATTTGGGCATGTTTACAAGACTGGTAGGTTGGGGTAGTCAGGAAAAGCGCATTTTTAGGCTGCTGGGTGGAGGGAGAGCTAATTCCGGTGCACGAGTTCAAGTACGTCAAAGGTAGGAGATGATCTGAAGATTTAGAAAATCAAAATTGGCTTAATAATCCAATAATCAAAAATTTAAAAAGCCAAAAATTCTACGGTAACGCCTGAAACTACGGTACCTAGCGGAATTTTAAAGCAAAAGTCGAAAAACGGGCATTTTAAAAGCCATAAGAAACCAAAGAAAAGCTTAAACTATCTACAAAAGGCGCAACTCAGAAAAATTCTTAAAAAGCTATACTAATCGCAAAATCCAAAAAAAACTCTTCCCCCCCAAGGTACCTCACTGTTTCGCTTCTCTTCCCATCAATCCTCCCAAATTCGGTTGATTCGAGCAGGGCAGACTAGCAGGGGTCATTTGCGGAAGGCGATTCATCTGACGGCCTCTTCACTGCAGAAAAATACCTAGAATAATCAATTACGACATGAAAATGGGGAAATACCTTAATTCCATGTCAAAACAGTGACCGCTTGTTCGGGCAGGCTAGCAGAGGTTTTTGGGGAAGCCGGCGGTCGGCTAGCAGAGGCCAGTGCGGAAGCAGAGAGCCTACGAATAAAAAATTGCGACAGGAAAATCAAGTAGTACCTTCGAGCCCTAGCGCGGCCGGGCAGGCTCGAAGAGACCATAGCTGAAGCGTTAAGCCTAACAGGAAATGGCTATAATAGGACATTCAGGAAATACCTTAAAAACCATCCCAGGTGAGGTAGGCTAGCAGAGACCCTTAGGTAAGCCGCGAGCCTGAAAAATGGTCATAAAAGGAATTTTAGGAAATACCTTGAAAAATTCTCGGCAGGGGCAGGCTAGCAGAGACCATTGGTGGAAGCCGTAAGCCTAAAAATAAACCCACTAGAACTCTAAAAGAAGGAAATACCTTAAGGAAATCCCTAGGCTAGGGCAGGCTAGCAGAGACCATTAGAGAAGCGATCCGTTGGAGGCGGACAGTGCTACCTGAAAAATACAAATTCAATTTTGTAAATTCAACAGCAAAAATAGTAATGGAAAAGAGAAAAAGGCAAAAAAGATCGCTAAGAAAAAATAGCCGGAGCGCTTTTGATAAGGGGCGAAAGTAAAAACGGGATTTGCGCATTAATAGCAGGCTCAGAAAACTAGGGCGGAAAAGCCCTAAAATTAATTTCTTTAGTAATTAAAATCTTTTAAAGGGACCGGCTACCAGTGTGGCGAGAAGATTGGCGAGGGGTATCACAACTTCGGCGAGTTGCGTGGGTTTTCGAAATTTACAATTAAATGACATTTAGACGGTTGCACGCTCCAAAATGGTACAGTAGCCAAGTTCTTCGACGAATGGGATACGGTGGATAAGGTGAGAGCGAGAGAGAGAGCGTGAGAGCGTGAGAGCGAGAGACAGAAAAATTTCTAGGTACTTCTCTGCCGCTACCGTATCGACCACGGCGTCGTTTCCGCTTTTGTTCAGCAAATTTGTGGGTTTTTTCTGGAAAAAATAGAGCCCAGGTTCGATTCCTGTAGGCGTCAAATTTTTGTTTTTTGTTCAGAACCCAAAAAATAGAATTTTCTGCATGATTACCTAATTACCGTACCCTAGATTGCCGTTGGAACGGGACCCGCGTCGGACTAGGTGAAACGGCAGCTATTGGAGTTGATGTCGTGAAATGCGGTGTTAATGGGAGCCAATACAGCGTCAACAAGTTGAGCGAGATCGAGATGACGGAATGGAGGGCGGTATGGTCGTGCTGTTTTTTTGAGTTCTCTGCTCCTTTAAAACTAGAAAGACAATTTTAAAGGCACTCGGAAGCTACGGATGTGCCTACAATGGTCCTTTACACCCAAAAAAAACGTGAAAATTTCAGCACGCCGGTGGCCTGCACGCTTCGGCCGACTTCGAGTCCGTAAATGGCGAGGGAAAGGGGCAGTTTATCAAGGAGACTACGACGACGAAAACGACTACGGTAGGTTGGAGGCAGGTTAGCAGAGATTCTTTGAGGAAAGTGGGCAAATCAGCTACCGGCATGCTAGCCGAGACTATTGGGGAAATCGGCAGGCTAGCAGAAATTTTATCGAAACACATGAAAACTCAGGGCAAGCTAGCAGAAATTGCTAGGGAAATCTGGTAGGCTAGCAGAGATTTTTTGAGGAAAACAAAATTGAGAGCATCACAGCAAACTAGCTGAGGCAATTAGGGAGCTTTGGTAAGCTAGCAGCGATTTTTAGGGAATGAAACTACCAAAGGAGGGCAGACTAGCAAGGATCCTTTAGGAATTCGAAATTTAGTACAGGGCATGCTAGCAGAGTCGATTAAGGAAATCAGAATATCTCGCTTGGGCAGGCTAGCAGATATGCTTTGAGGAATAGGATCCGGCATTTTAGACCAAAGCCCCGACAACTACCGTAGCCCTTACGGCAAAGGCTACAGTAACCCCGGCTTCACTTGTAAAAGGTATAAAAATTCATGGATGGCTTTAACTTAATTCTCTCGCGATTCTAGAGTGCTCCGATCTACTAACCGGGAAATACTGTCACGATCTGGCGCCGATTTGCAACGCCTCAAAAATTCCTGAAACACCAAAATCCGAAATTCTACGAATTCTGGAGGAAAACAGATTAGAAAAAACAGCCACCGGAAAGATCAGCGCCATTTTGGACGACAATGTTGACAAGTGAGTGCAAAATTTCGAGTGTCACACTCTTTATAAATAATTCAGCGTGCCCCACAATAATATGACGGCCACCTGCGATTCGCTGTTTGGAGGCCACGGATGCCCGAGGAAGAAGCGTGGGTTCAATCGATTATCAAACGAAATTAAGGGCCACAAAATTCTTTGATATGCTTAATCGATTACGCTACTAAATACAGCTGAAAAAATCGAAAAAAAAATGCTGAAAACACGATTTTGGTCGCTAAAAATACCGACAACCCTTACCGAGACTTTTTGCGGCGTAATCGATTACGCCTATAAATAATGGGCTCCGGAAACGATTCGCAACATTTAATGAATTACGCTATTAAATATACAACTGAAGAAATCGAAAAAATGCCGAAAAACCGAATTTCGATTGCTAAAAGTCCCGACAACCATTATTTTTTCATTTTCAGCATTTTTCGCGTTTAATCGATTACGCCATGAAATTCCATTCTTCCCAAAAGACGCTACACTGCACTTTACAGGCTAAAAATCACCTTTTTCGATTACGCTATTAAAATTCAAATTCGGAAATTCGAAAACCCAGAGAAACAACATAATTTTTTCTACTCTCAAAATTCGAAAAATCCCGACAACGATTACCGAAACCTTTCGTAGCGTAACTGATTACGCCATTAAATTCTAGACACTGAAAACTACGCTACATTCCTTTTTTAGGCTGCCACAGCTGCCACGACAACGCTACAAACCTAAGGACACTAGTCGGGGCGCTGTGCCCAAAAACGTGCGGCCGATGCACTAATGGTAGGATCGGGACTGGGGAGGCTAGCAGAGATTCTTGAAGAATTTGGGGCAGCATAGGCACAGGCCTAGGCAATCTAGCAAAGATTTAAGGAAATATTTTGGTTTATAGGAGCTCACGACGCCACTGAACTGCTCGAAGCCGTGCTCAAATTCCACAAGGCCGGGTGCGGAAAATAGGAACGAAATTGTTGATTTGAATGTTCTTGTTAATAAAGTTGAACATTTGAGTTTTAATGGGCCCCCAGAAGCGATATACATATGGATTTTTAGCTTTTTGAACAAATTTAACCTAGGAAACCTAGCAGAGATTCCTTAGGAAATTCTGAAATGACCCGTTTTCGATTTTAAAGGGCCATAGAAGCCAAAAAACTTATGGATTTTAGGATTGCACTTTTTCGGTTTTTTCTATTTTCCTTGGCTAGGCAATCCAGCAGAGATTCTTTGCGGAACCCACAAAAGTCCCGAAAAATCCCCATGGCTATTCAAAAGGCCCCCGGGGCGGCGGCTCAGTTCCACACCACCCAACTCTTGGGTGTACATTGGTATTCAGTCGGACGGGGTGGCTTTTTGTCAAATGTTTTTTCTCTCTCTCTCTCTCTCACTTTCTCTCGCCTCTTCACACGCCCGCCGGCGGCTGATTTGCATCTTTTTTTGGTGGGCAGGGACCGATCGAGGCAGCAGAGACTGTGACTGCTCTATCTGTATCACAAAATTCGTACTCGTGAAAAGCCGAAAGCCGATTTATGATTTTTAGTTTTTCCAAAGGGTTTGCTCGGGTTCAACTCCCGGCCGCGGCAAGCTTTTTGCTTTTGAAAGATTTCGGGTCATGTTTCCTCAAGAATCCCTGCCAGATTGCCTGTTTTAGGGGCCATTGAAGTAAGAAAATGGGTGGGTGCCATACCTGTGAAAGATTTCGGGTTATTTTTCCTCAAGAATCTCTGCCAGATGGTTGCCCTAAAAGAACGTTGAAGTCAAAATGGACCCAGGTTTGACTCCCCGCCCCGGCCAGAACTTTTGTTTTTTGCTTTTTAAAAGTCTCGGGCTATTTTCCTCAAGAATCCCTGCCAGATTGCCACCCTAAAGGACCATTGAAGTCAGAAAATGGGTCGAGGGCTCGATTCCCTGCAGCTGCAAGCGTCTTGTTTTTGCCTTCAAAAACTTTTTAAGCCATTTTCCTCAAGAATCCCTGCCAGATCGCGATTTTTAGACGCCATTGAAGACAAAACCACCTCGGGGGTCGACTCCCAGCCCCGTCAGATTTTTTGCTTTTTGCTTTTCTTAAGGGTAGGGCTATTTTCATCGAAAAATTCCTATGAGATCGCTATCCAAAAAGGCCGCCCAAGCCAAAAAATAGCAATTTGTTGTGGGAAAAGCCCTCCCCTGCTGTGGATTGCGGAGACCATGTGCCTCGAGGGCACATCCCCCGGCTATCAATCTTCAGATCTTAATCGATCGCCCTCCCCGGGTGGCAAATGAGCCTCAGTTGCCGGCAGCTAAATCAAGGCTTTTTCTTGGGGGAATTCCGCAAAGGATCACTGCTAGCTTGCCTAACCCCCGAAAAATACCATTTGCCGAACTAAGGAATACATGCGAAAATTCCAAAAAGAATCCCTGCTAGCCTGCCTGAATTTTTCTTCTCCTTCCTGTCGCCATCCCCTTAAAACAAAGCAGGGCAAACTAGCGGAGATCTTTGAGGAATAACTCGACACCATGCCACAAAATTTCCTCAAAAATATCTGCTAGTATGCCTACAAAAGGACGGATTGAGCATGGCAGGCTAGCAGGGTTTTTTGCGGAAATCTCTTTGAGACGGATCTCCTCCTCAAGGTTCACTGCTAGCCTGCCCTGTCCCGGCAAGCTAGCAGAGGTCTTTGACGAAAAATTTCGAAAGCAAAAATCCAAATTCCGCAAAGAATCACTACTAGTTCGACTCAAAAGGTCAGGGCAAGCTAGCAAAGCTGCTTTGCGGAATAACCGGCACTGTTCCCCAAGAATCCCTGCTGGCTTTACATATGCCTGGCAAGCTAGCAGAGACCATTGATGACCATTTGCAGCCAAGAACCCACAATTCCGCAAAGAATCCCTGCTCGCCTGCCCCTGATTTGTGTTTTTGCATTGTGCCTGCTCGCTTTCTGCGGCCCTTCCTCCCCCCATTTTTCTCCCCTCCCTCAAGTTGTGGCCATATGGCGTTGAGTGACAGCCATCCCCCTCCCCCTCTTTCTTTCTCTCTGTTGATCCTCTTTTTTGAGGTGCTGCTCCTCTCCTAAAGGACCCGTGCTCAACATATATCGGCTGGCAAAGTCTTTCTCCTTGCAAATCTTCAGCTTTTCCGGTGCCCAGAAATCATTTTTGAGGCGTTGGAAACGTTGATATGGCTATTTTTGTAGTTTTTAAAGGGGGAGCGACACCCCGAAATCAAAATTCAATTTCCGCAAAGACCACAGCTAGTTTGTGTGGAAACAGTTCGGTAATTTGTCATTGCTAGCTCTCTGGAAATTACAAAAATTCCGCAAAGAATCACTGCTCGTTTGCCTTTCCATGCGCTGCAAAGAATTCCACCATCTGCTAGTTTGCCAAATTTCTAAAGAATCTATGCTCTTTTGTCTCTCGGCTATATGAATTTCACAATTTTCTCTGCTAGCTTGCCTCGCTCACGTTGCTACCCTCCTGAAAAATTTGGCTCGTTTGCTAAAATAATTTCCTAAATTTTATGTCCGCATGCAGCCTCCAGTTCCTCAAGAATCTCCGCTAGCTGTCCCTCAGTTGCCCTCATTCCAATTCCCAAATGCTCTCTGCCAGCTTCCTCCCCCAATCCATTCCGCCGTTTTTTCGCGGGTTTTTCCCCCTGGCCATTCCCTTTGAGCTGCTCGAGGCCGCGCGGGCACGCCATATGCGCCGCTCGCGTCAAAAAGCTGGTGAGAGGGAGAGAAAGAGAGAGAGAGAGAGAGCTAGAGAGAGAGTGGGCGAGAGATAGAGAGAACAGAAAAGACAGCAGTTTTATAGTAAAAAAAAGTGCGGCCCAGCTGTCGAGGAGCCGAGGCCCTGCCTTGAGGAAACGAAGGCCATTTCTGACCGGGGCCCCTGAATTTTCGAAACCCCTAATTTGCATAAGGTGGCAGGCTAGCAGAGCCAATTCAGGAAGTGGTGATTTTCCTGAGGTATCGCTGCTAGTTGCCCTTAAAACCTTCAAAGATTCCCGCAAATTCTCCCGGTTCCTCAAAAATCTCTGCTAGCTAGCCTTAGGAATTTTCCAGTATGCCGCGCCTTTTCCTGACGAATCTCTGCTAGCTTGCCCTTTTCCTTCAGGATCCGTGCTAGTTAGATTTCCGCAAAGAATCTCTGCAACCTCACAAAGGTTTTTGCTAGTTATCATGCTGACTCGGTTTTAGGGGCAATCTAGCAGTGACCGTTTGCGCGGCGCCGACTTTCCCAAGACTGTTTTTTTGGCGGGCGAACTGTTCCGAGTGGCTGGGGATTTAGGGGCTAGCCATCGGAGGGGGGTTGAGTGGGTGGGTGGAGGATCATAAATCCGGACAGCGAATTGGCTACCCCCGGACACAAAGGGTCGTATTTTCGGAATCGAACGGAATCTAGTGGGGGGGGCAAATTGAGATCCGATTTGCTTCGAGTCGACTTACCGGGGGGAGTGGGTCAATTAGCAGAGACTTTTGGGGGAAATTTGCTGTGGGTTTGTTCAAAAAAATCGCCGCTTATTACCCCTTCTTTAAAACCGCTGCTAGCTTGGTTCCCAAATGACCAAATCCTCAATAATCCTTGCTCGTTGCCCCTTCCTAAATGGTTTCTGCTCTCCTGCCTCAAATTCCCCACTCCTAGCCTGCCCCTCAATTTCCTCAAAGAATCTGTGCTAGCCTGCCCCTTCAATTCCTCAAAGAATCTCTGCTAGCCTACCGCTCCATTTCCTCAAAAAACCTCTGCTAGCATGCCCTCATTTTCACATATCTCTGCAACCCCTTTCCTCAAAAATCTCTGCTAACCCGCCCCTGTCCCCATCCAGATTCCCATAATTGCCCAATCACCCGGGGCTTGATTTTTAGCACCTTCGCGCCGTTTTAAAGGGACGGTGACCACTAATGCGAATTGACAGGGAAATGGGGGAGGGAAATGGCAACCAGAATCGGGGAGGGGCGCCTAATTTGCATAATCTGGGGGTGAGGGAATGAGATCTCAATTTAGCGCTGGGGAGAACTGGCTCTAGGACGAGTTTTGGGCAAAGAATCGTTGCTAGGATGCCTTTCAGCCCACCGACTCCCCAAAGAACTCCGCTAGTTGACCTTACGCAAAGTGCTAGTTTACCCCTTGAATTTTACTTGTTACTGAAAAAACACTTCCAGTTGCCCACAAATTCCTCAAAGATGCCCGCTAGCACTCCCAAGCCACGAATCTATTTCACCTTCTTCTACTGCCAGTCGACCTGACCCATATTTTCCTCAAGAATCTCTGCTGGCCTGCCTCTCTCCCCACCAATTCCTCAAAACTCTCCGCTAGCCTACCCCACCCCTCGAATCTGTATATCTGCTTCTTCTTCTTCTTCTACTGCCAGTCGTCCACAGCTCCGTCCTCCGGAATGCTCGACCCAAATGACATTACACGGCATTGTGAGGGCGACCGGGGTCTCTGGGTAGGGTCTTCTCTCCTTCTTCTGGGTCTTCTGAAGGCCCCGAGGGTCCATCCCCATCCCCCCATCCTCTGCCCTCCAATTTGTGCCCTCAGGCCATCTACTGGCCCTGAGGGTCGGTCGGGGTCGGGGTCGGGCTCTTCAGAACGGCCGCACAACACTACTGAACACTTTGGGGTGCTAAAAACCGCTTGATTTGGCTATTTATGTGTCGTAATCGGTTGCCTTTCCAAAAATTGCTGCGCCTTTCACTATGTATCTCTCTCTCTCTCGGTCTATCTCTAGCTTTCCATCCCATAAAACAACCGATTACGCCGCTTAATTCATCGTCCAATCCATCTACTTTCTCGTTTCCGCCAAGTTCCCCTGTTAGCCTGCCCACGTTGCTATTATCGCTATACTTTCGCATTCTTTCTGCGCTACTACGCTATATGCAAAAAATCAGCAATTCCACACTTCACCTCCGTACACACACGCCGCTATTTGCCCTGCGGGTTATTTTCTTAGGGGGTGTCGGTGCTTGGGGCGGATCCGATTA